GAACTCAGTCTGAGCCTTAGAAATATTACGATGTATTGCATGGAAAGTTAACGTGCGTACACAAAGTCGGACGTGGCTAAATCACTTCCTAATATCCTGAAAGGGATTTTGCCTAAAAATGTTCAGGCCGTTATTTTGATGAGACACAATTTGGTATGTATCATTTAATACTAAATATAACCGCTGTAGCCATATGGCTGATGGCATAAAAATGGGCGTGAGTATCAATAGACATCTCAACATGATTTTATATTGATTTAATGATAGATTTTACGACATATTTTGTGGGCAACTTCCGAATTGAAGGACAAGAAGTAGAAGACTCGCAAAAATTAATTATTCTCTTATATATTTTGTAACCAAAAGGAGGTGCTCACTATATTATTGGGAGACCTTCAAATAATGATACGCATTCATAAAATGCTCAATCCATACTTCCCATATTATTTCAGATCTGTAGACAATATCTGTATTCAATATCAGATCTGTAATCCATATCTTCCACAGTAGAAGGCCTCTCTTATTAAAATCTCCTAATCTCCATTGAAAACTATCAACAATATAATTTGAACTGTAAAACAAAGACAAAATAGGAAAAGAATGGACTGAATTATAAAGACGTTGTACATGAACTTACCACATATTTGCTGTTTGGCACACAGGCGAAATCGCAACACACCTAAGACCTATTATAACACACGCACTTCACATTTAATATTAAATACACGCATTTTAACACAACTTCCTGTTTTTTAACGCCAATTGCATGAATGCCTTCTTACTTTTTCTACAATTAAACTTTTCAACACAATTTTCATTTATTTTAATTTGATAACTACTCATAGAAGACATTTTTTGCAAAACAACACATTTACTTCAAGCAAACACTCCTTGAGGGAAATAATTTAACATATATTTTGTAAATACTACACTTTTGTAACACTTTTATGCATTTTTCTTAAATATTTTATCTAACAACAGAATTTGCGCGCAAACGTAATCTTTAAAGCCGAGATCGAACGAACATTTTGCAAGGAAGCTGCAAAACGAAGAAGAACATAACGGAACAAATTCATTGGCATTTATCGTTATCGAAAGCTTAAAACTGAAAGGGACTCTGTGTGCATGACTTTTTGGCGGGGAAATGAAAATAAAATGTGGTACACACTACCGGAGGTAAAGTAAGCCACTATTAGCAGGTGCATACGGTACTTGATTCGGGAGTAAACGTGTGCTCTGTTACTATGATAACTGATTTTTCTTGCATGATTAAGAAAAAAAAAAAAAACAAGGAGAAAACGATCCTTGATCCAATGTACGATTGTTGCCCAAGTGTATATGTTTGCGTTTAAACGTAAATGCGAATGTTTGTATCAAAAAATAACTTTGACATGTTATGCTAGGAACACAATTGGAGCGAACGACGAATTTTTTCGCGGCGTATGTTCGTCGTCAAAAATAAAACACATATGTGTATATGGAAGTGCACACAATCACGGCACCGGCGAAAATTTCGTCGGTCGCCGCGAACTCAATTAGCTTTATTTCTATTTCATACGCCGGCGACCGGCGAACAAAACAGTACAAGGTGGCCATACTTGTACGAATTTTATGTGTTTTAGTAAATAAAGTTACTTTTTACATTAAAATTTGTTATGGTCACTCTACTATCTGTTACTCGTATAAAAAAACATAATTAATTTGTTTATTTATTTGTGTATTTGCGCCTGAGTGAAGATGGATATCAGTGAATTTATAATAGAGAAGATGGACATAAGTGAAATTATAATAGAGAACGTAAAGAATTATGTGTTCTTGTATAATTCATTGTAGTCAACAAATGAGCAAAAAGTAAACAACTTCATCAGCTGTTTTATAATTTCGTCGGTATTGTGTTCCATACGACGAATTTTCGCGGCTCATTTTGTCGCCGCGTAGGGCGAAATTCGTCGTTCGCTCCAATTGTGTTCCTAGCATTAGTTTTTGCCGATTTCAGAAATAAATATATTATAAACACATAGCCTAATAGAAAAACGCTAGACTTGGAACGAATTTAGCACACGGGTATATAGCATTTTCAGATTAAATGAAACCTTTTGCAATTCAAATGAAACTTTTTGCAGCGGAAATGAAACCTTTTGCAGTGGAATTGAAACCTTTTGCAGTGGAAATGAAACCTTTTGCAGTGGAAATGAAACCGTTTGCAGCGGAAATGAAACCTTTTGCAACCGAAATGAAACCATTTGCAACCGAAATGAAACTTTTTGCAAATCAAATGAAACTTTTAAATTTATAGAAGGAAAAATAACAAAACATTTTTATTTTTAGTAGTTTTTAAATTAAATCAATTAATTATAACTAATATATTGACAACGAGGATTTTTTATTGATTATAAATATCTACATTTATTTATATTATTTCTTACATTTTCAATTATTGTAATAACAAACGGTTCTTTATTGATTTGATATAAAATGCTTCCATATTATTAAATTCCAAATGCTTAACGCTAAAAAGAGAAATTTAAACAAATTTTGGCCATATCATACCTATGCCAGGACTGAAATGTGAAATTAAGCTTTACCACAATTTTTTATAGTTATAGTATACTATTAATCTTACCTAATAAAGGATTCCCGCTTCGCAGCTTTGTTGATTATGGAGATAGAGCAGTCGAGATTTCAATAGACAGATAAGTGGAAATCATTAAATCAACTATGATCATGATTGCATATACTGTATGGGATCTACGACGAATATTTAGAGGCGTTACAAACCGAATGACAAATTTAATATATCCTCCTTTCCATGGAGGAGATTATAAAAGATACCTAATTCGGGTCCTTAAAAAAAAAAACCTTGAAAAACTTTTTTCAATCTTTCTGCATCTACACTTGTGTTTTAAGGAAGCTTTAAGAAAAAAATTTATAAAAACATAAATATTAATAATCAATAAAAATTCCTCTTTAACTATATATTAGTTATAATTAGTTGATTTAATATTAAACCTACTAAAAATAAAAATGTTTTGTTATTTTTCCTTCTTAAAATCTAAAAGTTTCATTTGATTTGCAAAAAGTTTCATTTCGGTTACAAAAGGTTTCATTTCGGTTACAAAAGGTTTCATTCCCGCTGCAAAAGGTTTCATTTCCACTGCAAAAGGTTTCAATTCCACTGCAAAAGGTTTCATTCCCGCTGCAAAAAGTTTCATTTGAATTGCAAAAGGGTTCATTTAATCTGAAAATGCTATATTTTGTCATGTTTTGAAATACGTTTTCGTTTTATATATATTTTTATATATATAAATTTTGTTTTCGTTTTCGTGTATATATAAATTGTGTTCCCGTGCTTTTTTAATGGTTAAACTAGTAAAGGATGGAATAGTTGAATTTGCTCTCAGAGAACTTTTTTGCCAAAAAAAGTACGGGGACAAAATAAGCAAACATGTCGTAATTATATGGAATTCCTTCAAAGTAAACATATAAGCCAAGTAGATAAAGAAATCCCATCTTCGTGATTTTCAGGTACAGTAAACGTTTTTAGTAAAAAGTAGCAACAAATGTGAAAGTGGTAAATTCTTGCACATTCTGGAACAAAAGTATAGAGGCTAAAGCAGATCGAATCTTAAATCGGCGTTAAAATACAGCACTGGTGACACTTGTAACTGACAACAAATGCCATTCAAAAATGACAACAGTGTTGTATTTTCTCTCCGAAGCATGGTAGAAGAATACAGGAAGTCGCATTGACATAGATTCTGGGACAATGAACTGGCAAATCAATTTTGGGATTGAAAAATTTGAATGAAAAATCAAATGAAAAAAATAACTCCGTTCCAGTATCTACAAGAATCCATGGTATAATAAAAAGGTAAGGCTACCAGTTGATTACAATTTTTTCTAAGTGTGCCCAATTTTGTGTATGTATTGGTTGTTTTGAAAATGATGATTGAAAATGATGATTACATTGCGGGACGAATTTAAAGCTATTAACCAGTTATGCCATGGAATCGAAAGATTGAACAAGTTTGAAGTTTAAATCATATTTGTGAATGAAAATCTAGGCATTTCATTCTTTTTTCGTGCTTTTTAGCTCATTTTAAAAATGAGGAAAAATATCAAATTAATGAAGTCAAATTATATGCAACAAATTTGAATGATTCTTACAGGAAGCGGGCATAGCCTCATGGCTGTATTTCTGTAGTTTTAAGTTGCTTTTCTACCCCCTTATTGTACCATGCAAGAATCTACAACCTTTGTGATTTTCTTTAATATCATATTGAAAAAAAAAAAAAAACGGTTATTGTGGTAAGTGGTGTATATCTGCCCACGCTCGCTATCTTTAGTTATTCAGTATTTTCATGATAATGGCCACATTTTTAACGGAACTATTTCAAATTTCGGTTTAGATGTTCGCAATAGACCACAACGTATCTTCACTGTGTCATATAACTGTCTACATAGGGCATTACTTTCATATAGGTCCATAAAGCGGTGCTTCTCGATATTATATTATCTGATTTTAAACATTTTTACATTTGCTTCGATCCAAAAACTGTTAGAATGTAAAAATTTTACAACTATAACCGGTTTTTAGTAGATTCTTGCAGGTTCTTGAACAGATCAATTACTGTTTTCAACAACAACAATAAATCAAACTTGCACAATTTTTGTTCATGATAGAGGTTGTTCATATGTCAACGTTGAAAATGTTCAACTTTGAAATTTTGTGCACCTTACGTATTTGTGTGGTGAAAAACGTCGAATTTTAGGTAACGCCGTTATATATTTTTTAATTTGACATTTTTCTCCATTATAAACTTTTTCATTTAAATAAAAATTGAGCCCCAGAGCTTATTTGAATATTAAAAAATTCTTCAATTAAATTTGACCAACTGTGGTATTATGAATAGTCCAATTAGATTTGTGGTGTCTACACCACTTAATTAATAATCGATACAAACTTGCAAACGGAGCAGCAGCGACATTTTACAAACGATTTTGTCATCGGCCGATTGTCAGGCCTAACACACACATTTTTTCTCGTGAAATTGCAAAAGTTTTGTTTTGCGTGTGTTTTAATGGCTAAATCCGGGCAATTTTAGTTATATTTAACATCAACATTAACTAAATCATATCAAACACCAGCAAATTCAATTGTATGTCGATGAAAACAAGAAAATTGCGTATTTTATTTAACGATTTTTATTATGTTCTCGTATAGATCTTGAATTGTGTGTGGTTGTTTGCAGTGGACGACGACGCCGAAAAATTAATCTTTGAAGAATAAACGTTTAGAGGCCATTCATCATGTATAATGGAATAGGTTTAACCACACCTCGTGGTTCCGGCACTAACGGTCATGTACAACGCAACTGGGCTTTTGTACGACCCGGTAAAAAGGACAATTCCAATTATCGCTCCGAAGAGGATATTAAGAAATTGGATGCTACATTAAATCGGCCACCCAATAAGGAGATTTTAGATCATGATCGTAAACGTAAAATTGAAGTGAAATGCTTGGAGTTTGAGGAGATTTTGGAGAATCAAGGGTAAGTGTTGGATGTTTCGGCGTTTGTTATTTTCATCGAATTCGGTTTGAAGAACTAGGTTCGGACCGCGTAAAATTTGGTGTAGAGAACTTTGCCTATAAATTCCTAATAATCAGTTAAGCACATAACTTATTTAATTTTAGTGATGGGATTTGAGAATCTTGGCTAGAGTCAATTTAAGATATTATTTTTTGAACTACTGCAAAAAAATTCAGACTTGATGTGCTCTACATATCTAGAGGTACGGGTTGTCCATCACCCAAAAAAATATATATGTAATTATTTCCAGTGGTACGACTTTTAAAACGGGCTGTCTGTTCCATTGCCTATTTGGTTTCTTACAGCGGCTAAACACTAGATTAGTAAAAAGGCTCAGATTTTTTTTTGAAATTTTTTTTCGAGAGGATGTTATTGTTGTTATTTTAAAGGAAAGTTCAGTTCCCAAACCATAACCGCATCTCAGATCATTTGAAAGCTAATGAAAATATCTATCCAACAAGTGGTTTTTCCACGCAATCGGGAAATATTTAATAATGTCACAAACCCCATTAGAACCGTAACAGTATGCCTCCTTATATGAACTGTCGATCAATCCCCATGAGGAGGTGAAAGGTAGACATTCACGATCTAGAGAGATATAAAGAGGTACAAGAGAGAGATACAGGCATATCAAGCAGGACTGAATGGTATTCTCTCTGAAGCGATAACAGAAGTCATGAAGAAATATGGGGTGAATACCGTACTCGGAGACCATGTCCACAGCTGAAGAGCGAGGGCTGGCCCGACAAACCTTAGTTGTTTTGGCACAGTTAAGATCTGGATGGTGCAACCGCCTCAATTCGTATTGGGGCCGTATTGACAGCAATGTGTAAAGCATCTGCCCATCGTGTGGCACAGGTCCACATGACAAGCTGCACCTCCTTCAATGCCCAGCCAAACATACTCACGTAAATCTGGTATCGTTATGGACTTAAATTATAAAGGTTGAGTCCTTCTTGAATTCAGACTTAGAAGTAGAATTAGGTTGAGAAGAATCAGAACGGACACAGCAGTATGAGCTGTTGTTGTTGTTGTAGCAGTAGTGCATGTGTGTGTTTGTGTTCTGCTAATCTGGTTCCAGCTCCAGGTTTAGAAATTCGGCTACTTTAACGGGCTGTAGCCAGAGATCCTCTGGAGTGAGTTGGGTAGGTTTGGCTGAGCAATTAAAAAGGTGTAGCGTATTGTGCGGGCCTGTATCGCACGCCGGGCAGGCGTCACGCACATCTTCATCAATTCGTGCCCAATACGAATTGAGGCGACTACACCATCCTGAACGTAATTGCGCCAAAACTACCCTGGTTTGTCTAGGCAGCTGACGTTCTTCGGCTGCAATGGATGGGGGGTGGACTCCGAGGACGGCATTCACTTTATAACTGCTCATAGCATCCGCGACTGCATCGGTGTGAATGCCACTCAGACCTGCCTGATAGGCTTCTTGATCTAGAGGCTCTCTCTTGTAGCGCTGGACCTCCCTCTCTAGATCATGTATGTCCTTCCTGACACGCCTGGGTGGGGGAGAGTTATCCACCATATGATGGTTGGGATGACTCTCACGGTAACACCCAAGCAGGTACTGCAACGAAAGCATATGATTATGCTGACGTAAGGGAAGGACTTTCGCCTCCTCATGTAGATGGTCCACTGGTGTCATGAGGAGGCACCCTGTCGCAGTTCTCAGGGCAGCGTTCTGGCAGGTCTGGATATTCTTTCACTGCGTAGCACTAGTATTCGCAGACCACACTGGAGCCGCATAGTTGACCACAGACCGACCTATCGCGTTATAAGAGGTCAACAAGGTTTCTTTGTCCGCACCCCAAGAGCTGCCGGCTAGCGCCTTGAGGACCTTGTTCCTACTTTTCATCTTGTCGCAGATAGCTGTGGCTTGCGCGGACGACTTAAACATGCTGTCGAACGTTACCCCAAGAATCTTGGGGTAGTTCGTGGTCGGTATTAGATTCCCCTCGACCTGAACATTCAGCTGTGTTCTCATCTCCGCAGACCATGTGGTAAAGAGTGTGGCCGTTGATTTCGTGGCGGATATTTTCATATTCCTCGCGTGGAAGTATGCGGCAAGCTCCGCGAGATAGGGGTTCAACCTTTCGCATATGTCATCGACCACTGGACCCGACGCCATGATCGTACAATCATCCGCATACGTTACGATCTCAATGCCGTCTGGAGGGCGAGGAATTCCGGAAAGGTAGAGGTTAAACAGTTCCGGAGATATCACCCCGCCTTGGGGAACTCACTGTTTCACTCTACGGGCTTTGGACTTCTTGTTCCGGAATTCCACGTACGACTGGCGTCCACACATATAGTTGATTATCCAACGTTTCAAACTTGGCCGGAGGGTAGTTCTCTGTACGTCCTCAAACAGTGTGGCATGATTGACCGTATCAAATGCCTTTGATAGGTCAAGGGCTACCAACACTGTTCTGTCACACGGCCTGTTCTGGTTCAGTCCTCTACTAATATGTGTGGAAATGGCGTGTAATGCTGTTGTGGTACTATGTTGTGGACGGAATCCATGCTGGTGGTTGGCAACTGTATAGCTTCCTCTAATGCTGGGGAGGAGTAAAGCCTCAAGAGTCTTTGCTACTGGCGACAAAAGCGAAATCGGCCTGTACGATTCGCCTTTACTGGCATCCTTGCCTGGCTTCAGTAGCGGGACCACCCGGCCCATTTTCCAGGTTTCGGGCACTATGTGGGTGGCTAGCGACAAATTGAGAACTTTCGTTAAGTACTCGACTCCCGGCGTATCCAGCTGCTTCAACATTACCATTGAGATTCCGTCCGGGCCCAACGCTTTGGATGACTTAGCGTTACAGATGACATTTGCAACATCACCCATCGTAAACTGTGGTGGTTCCTCCTCGGCGGGAAGAGATCTGATACGACGTAGTACTCTTCGCTTCGCCCTATCGCTCTCGGGGTGCTCGACAAATTGTCGGTTAAAATATTCCGCGCACCTCTTCGGATCAGTCACCGTTACGTCGTTAAAAGTGACTGAGGTCCTATCATCCTTTTTTCCAGGGTTCGAGAGCGACTTAACCGTTACCCACAGCTTACTCATATCGGTTCCAATGTTGCAGCACTTCAGATGGTCTAGCCACTTTTTCCTCTTATGCTCCTGTACCAACCGGTTGACTTCAACTGTCAAATCACTGATTCTAGGATCAGTAGGGTTGGTACGACGGAGATCATCACGCTCGTTTGCTAATCCCGCTGCCTCTGCTGGGAAGTTTGGTCTTATCTCGGGTATTCGACCAGCAGGTATATAGCGAGCGGCTGCAGCTCTGATGATGTTTCGGAAAATCCTTTCTGCTACCCGAACATCAGAAGGGTTGGGCAGTTCTCTGAAGCGGCGGTTGGTGAATTCTCTGAACTCTGGCCAGTGAGCTTTCCCATGGTTAAGGAAAGTGCGGCGTTCAGAGGTTATGAAATCGGGCGACCTGCTTATGGAGACGATTATCGGGAGATGGTCTGAGCCAAGAGAAATGACGGGTTGCCAAGTCACGTCATTTATCAGACCGGGTGACACTATGGTTAAGTCTGGCGAACTGTGACACTCTCCTCTTATTCGGGTGGGGGCATCCTCGTTAACCGTGCAAAATGTGGAGCAGTCAATCTGCTCTGCCAGCGCTGATCCCCTCTGGTCATTACCTAGGACGGAATGCCACAACTCATGGTGGGCATTAAAATCCCCTAGTACCAGGCGGTTATTGCCTACCAATAATGGGCTAATATCAGGCAAATAACGCGGTTCACAGCTATTAATCGGCGGGATATACACATTAAGCACCTCTACCTCGGCAGTTCCACACTTGACTGCTACCCCCATACATTCCATGTATGGGTCACTAGAGACTAGCTCAAGCGAGATAGGTCTGTACTGAACAGAATGGTGTAACAGGAACGCTAATCCCCCACCTCCACTTCTGGTGCGATCCTTCCTTAGTACGTTGTAACCATAACAACGTTGTAGGCTGCAATTTTCATTCAGCTTGGTTTCCTGCACCGCTGCGATCTTAATATTCCTCCGACTCATAAATTCCACTATCTCATCTATTTTGCCTCGAAGTCCGTTGCAATTGAATTGCAAGAATGATGCACAATCCGGAGTTGGAACAGCAACATGTGGCGTTAGGTGCTGCGGTGTTGGTTGCTGTTCTGGAGACTGCGGTGGAGTGCCATACTCCGACGACGTCTCTGACGAGGACGACGAAGAAGAGGACTCGCTGGGGACTACGTTACTGCAGCAAGTCGCAACATAATCCCTTTCGCTGTAGTCTCGCAAACGCCTTAATCCGGAACAGTTCTTGAAGTGCACCCACTCTCTGCATCCATTACATCGCACCGAGACAGATCTGTGGTGGATGACGTTCTGACAAACCGAGCAGAACCAAGGTCCGGGGTTTTCCTCAATCCCGGCACGGACCAATAAAATCCGGAGCAAGCATTCCGGGATATGCTGCTCCCAATGCAGAAAAATAAACAAACACAAACATGTACATACTGGGTTGGCAGCCGCTGGCCGAAACTGGAATCTTGTTGTTTCGGGTCAATCCGGTATCGTAGAACCCGCTGCCGTGGGATTGATACCATCTGTTGGATAAACAAACTTCACCCAGGCATGATCTAGAGAGAGGGGTACCGAGGTATAATAGAGAGCCTCTATATCAACATGCGTATTAAGTAGGACTGAATAATAATTACTCTGACGGGATCATAGAAGTTATGGAGGAACATAGTGTGAATACACTCCTCAAAAATCATCGTAGCTTAAAAAACCGGATTAGTTTTGGCGAAGTCATCTCAATTCATATTGAGTTCGAATTGAAAGCAGTGCGCAGAACATTTGCCCAACGTGTGACCCAGGCCCAGCTAAAATCTACTCTCCAACATCTTATAGAGGAATACCTACCCGTAGACCGATTTAGCCCATTTTCATTGTCAAACTGTCAAACAAAATATTGGGGCCTGTTAGTATCCCTTTTGTTATCCATAACGTTAATTTATTCATGCATAATAGAGGCTGAGTTCTAAGAAATATGTGACCAGATTTGTTATGATACCTTGCACCGTGTTTCGTTGGTTTGGTTTTGCGGGCTTATCTTTGCCAATTCGGTAATTTCTGAAAATGTATGACTCAATATGGGTCAATTTTTTTTACATATAAGATTTCATTTGCCGTTAAATGAAAATGTAAGGCTAGAAAACCTTAAAATCATCGGAAAACTTTCATAACAAACAACGAGATTATATCCTTGAATCACAACACAAAACCAAACATGCTTCTTAATTACATTAATTGCATATAAAATAAAATGTCATCACTATCAAGTGTTATTCTCCGGAATTATACCTACATCAATGTCAATTAACTGCATGCATACTTATGTGTGTGTCGTTATTTTTGTTGTAGGACTTCTTACTTAGTAACATATTTTGTAATTTAAGGAGAAACTATTTTCCTGCAACACCAACCCTCCATTACTGGGTGAATGGGTGGTTAACATTAATTCTCTCTTTGCCTGAACCGTTGTCTGTAACTCTCCCACAAGAAAGTACGACTCTTGTCAATGAACACCAAATAATAAGCTCTTCTCTCTCTTTGTCTCATAAGTTGTTCGTTCTTGTTTTCTGTTTCATGGCTGACAGTAAACACAACACATTATACTCTTCCGGTCGTTTGTTAGCATTTGATTTTCCTAGCTATTGTTTTCAACCCTCAAACCAGGCAATGGTCTGTCGGTAGGTCGGTTGTTGGGTCGTTCGTTCGTTTGACGAACAAAACAAGCAAGAGGAAACCTGCAATATCCATTCTGCTGTTGAGTTGCAAAGGGTGGATGGCTGGATATAGTGCAATTTTCTGATGTTTATTTTCAACTTAACTCTCCTCGTGAACAACAGCAGCAGTAGCAGACGAACGGAGACTCCGAAAAGAAAATCAGAAATATTAAAAAAATCACTTATTGTACATAAAATTGTCAACACACCTCACTATTGAAGAGAACGTCAAACGTACAACACTGCAACATACATATATTATTTAATAGTATATCATTTTAATTATTGCAAAAGAAAAAGAAACTAACAATAAGTACCAGAAAAAGGATATTTTTTAAATAGACGGAAAAAGTTTTTTAATTTCTAGTCAGCAATATTTTAACTTCTAAAAGAAAATTTCAACGAAATTTATACAAACCAAAAATAAAACTAGCAACAAAACTAGCAAATTAAACTTTAATGGTATGTTAATACGTTTTAGTATATACACATTTTTCAAATTGTAATGGTATAATTTGCTACCTTAAATTTACATTAATTTAATTTTATTTCCATTCTATTTTGCAGACTATCACCTGAAGAAATCAAGGCCAAAGTTGATTCGTATCGACAGAAATTATTGGGCACAGGAAAGACAGATATACCAAAAGATGAATTTGGTAGAGTAGCGTAAGTAATTGTTTTTCAATAATTTTGTTTCATATTTTTTAAGAGACGTTGTGAAGTTGGAATATTTTCTTCAGCCACCCATTGGGAGTGTGTTTTGATTATGTAATATTTGGGAAAGTCAAAAAAGCATTTACTGCCAAATTTCACGCAATGTCATTACAGTGTAATGCATTTTTTGTGTGACCCGAAACTTACAAAATTTGACATGGTATGTTACAGAATTGTGTGTGTGTGCATGATGTGTTTTCATGTGCTTGGAATAATCAATAATTTGAAAGGTCTTCGTCTCTTCCCATTTGCAATTGCAAACTACATTGAGGGCTTGTTTAACGTCACACGAAAACATTGTGGGAACAGTGATTGTGTGGTGACATGAATATATGAAATCAAAGTAATAACAGCTGTGATTTAGCTAAACAAATGGCAGATCATAAACAGTTTCGTGTAAATAAAAATGTATATATTCCGAAATGTAACGGCAAGAGTCATTTTACAACATTTAACAATAATAATGATGAGATATCCGTTATATTTAGTAAAAAGTAATGCTACAGAAAATTATCAGGATTTTATAGAAAATCTACTTATGTACAAGGGACTAAAGGTCCGGAATTTTTGAAGTACTACTATAGCTGAATTGTTGTTTATGAAGATTTGGAAAAAATACGTATTGAAAGGATGTTTTTTTATTTCGCATTCACTTTGAATCATTATATATATTTGGGAAGAGTAAAATCATAAATTTTTAAAAATATTTTAGGGTGGGTCTTATTGGGAATTTAAAAAAAAAATCTTTACGATTTTAAATATATGTTAGAATTTACGATATCTTTTCAAGAAAAATTTTCCCATTTTTTCATTACGATTTTTTAAGAATATTATCGTGAATATTTGTATTCCTTTTTTGTATATATTTGTAATATGCATTTTGAATGTTACTATTGTAGATTTTTTATTCGTTATACATATCGACTACATGTATTTGCTTTCTATAAAAATTACACGTTCTTATCATCGTCCATAGTTACAAAGTTGGATCTTTTTGCTATCTCTAGAACTTTAAAACGGAATTTAATACTGTGTATTTTTATACCCTCAGCCATATGGATAGTGAGGGTACATCATTTGATACGGCCAAAACGTGCCTCATCGAAATAACAGTTTTAGACCCTAGGTCTCTTTAGACCAAATTCGTTTCAGGCCATTTGGAGTCGGTCTAGCGATGTCCGTCCTTCTATCTGTCTGTCTGGCTGGAGCGCAGGATAACTCTCGAAGAAAGTATCCGATTTGGTCCAAACATGGTACATCGTAATATTATTATCAAACTTAGATCGAGTTCGACCACAAAAAAATCGAAATAAAAAACAAAAATAATAATACTGCACAGAAGGGGAAAGGATACTCCGACTTTGCTTCAATTTTGCCAATCCTAATATTTGTATTAGTGCTAGTACCTCCCCCAACAAAGGGTCCACATTTTGAATAATTATAATCAAATTTTGAATAATTATAATATTTGTATTAGTGCTAGGTAAGATACGAAAATGGACTCCATCAAGTACCTCCCCCAACAAAGGGTCAAAATTTTGAATAATTATAACTCTTATAAAATGTGATGTAAGTGTCCAAATGTCTTCAAATTGCACATATGACAATATGGAATATATCGGTCTACTCCTCCTGGTACCTCTCCCACAAAGGGTCAACATTTTGAATATCCATAAAGCTAATAAAACACGAAATTAGTATCCGATTCTATAACGATTCTATATAAGCATCTGGTTTTCGTAAATTTACACACATCACAATATTTTTATTAACCCAAGGTTTGGTGTGAAAATGGGATATATCGGTCCACTTCTTCTGGCACCTCCCCCACAAAGGGTAACAACTTTGAACATCCATGAAGCTCATAACATGCGAAATTAACATCCGATTCCATTCAGATATGGTACATCTCAATATTTCTATCAACACAAAATCTGTTATAAAGATGGTAGAGATAGGACCATTCCTTCTGGTATCTCCCCTACAAAGGGTCGAAGTTTTGAATAACCAAAATGATCATAAAATCCGAAATAAGCATCTGGTTTTCAAATTATCAAATTACACACACCACAATATTTTTATTAACCTAAGGTTTGATTTGGGATATATCGGCCCACTCTTTCTGATACCACCCCCACAAAGGGCAAACATTTTAAATATCCACGAAACTTATAAAATGCGACATCTCAATATTTCCATCAACACAAGATCTGTTATAAACATGGTAGAGACATGATCATTTCTTCTGTTACCTCCCCCACAAGAATTTGAAAAACAAAACCCTCAAATAAAGTGTTGTTAGTACATTTCAGTATTTTTCGTTCATTTCATTTTAAAACCCAATATTGTAGGTATCCCATATTCGCCCCGCTTGTATTTAGGATTTGCTTACTTGTTTCAGAGAAGTTTTTAAATATTTTCGAATTAAAAATTATTTTTTCTAAATATCTTTTGGTTTTTTTTAAAGATTTGCAGTTTATGAGTGACTATAAATCGGCATTTCGATCTAATAAGTTATGATTCATCCTTTAAGAATCAAACAATGATTAACGAAGCTATAACTTCGAGTTTTGTAGTAAATTTTAGTAAAATCTCCCAGATGCAAGGCGTTCCTTCCAAATTATAATCTTTGAAATAAAATCATCTTCTTCGTAATATTTTTTCCAAGGAGTTTCGTTCCTGTAAAAATGTTAAACATGTCCTCAGTGTAGAATTTTCCACAACTCTCAGAGAGAGCAATTACAGTTAATATGTATCCTTGTGAGAATTGTGTAATAACTGCAAGGAAATCTCACAGCATTCGTCGGTAGCCATAACTAATGAGACAAACTGGGTGGTTGAATTCCGGTTTGTGGGTGTTGGGGGTGGAAAATGAGAGCAAATTGGTCTACTCTAAGCCATTTTTTTAACTTTGGCTGCAAGGAATAGATAGAGAAATTTGGCATATAAGAAAATTCTTCTCAGTTATCAAGTGTCTTCCATAAGCAAAGGATGTTCGAAGGGTTTAAACAAAAATAAAATAAAAAAAATTAAACAAAACGGAAAAAAATATATAAATTGGGATGAAATGCTAAAGAAAAACGTTTTCAATATTAATATAAAAAAATATAAAAAAATGGATTATAATTGAAAAAATAATGTTCAAAAAAGTTATCAAAGAAAAACCAAAACGCTGAATAGTAAAGGAGAAAAAAGTCATCTTTGTTATAAAGAAAATCTTGCTACAAATGATACATTTTTTTAATAATTTGCAAATGACAAATTTTGCAATAAAAAAAGGAATATAACAAAATATCCTATAATCAAGGACCAAAAATAAATACGACGAAAAAATTTGTGTTTTTATGCAAAATTTCACATTTCACGGCATCAGCCAAAAACCACCCACCACCACCACCCTTTTCAACATGGCGCTGCATTGCTTCCTTAATATACACACGCTATTCTTCTTGGCATTTTAACTTGGCTTTTAATCAACGTATAAACCAACTATTCTAACCCCCCATTGCAACGAAGAGTAAATTGACGGCAGGCAGGCATTTCATTGGCTAACAATGTTAAGTGGATTATTTTGTATTGGAATTGTGTGATGCTTATTTGGCAAAAAAGGGAAAATAGGGTACATTGACTGGAAAAGTAGAATAGAATTTATATTCTCGTGTATTTTATAAAATAAACAACAAAACGCTAATTAACTCGTCTTCCATTGGTTTTGTTTTTCTGTGCTTTTTATCAGAAATTAGCCAATATTGAATTGAAAGTGTTTATATGTCAGTAATCAATCGAAGTAATAGCTAACTAGTTTAAAGAGTTGTAACGGAAAAGAATTGCAAATTTTTTCTTATTGAAATTGTAAAGTGTTGCGTGAAAAATTGAAAGAAGACTTGAAATATATACCCAAAAAAGGGGAGAACTTATACTCACCAAGTACAAAAAACTACACTTAATAAACATTTTAAGAAAAAGACAAGCATAAATAGTTTAAAAAAATTTGTGAATGAATAAAAATTATTGTGTCTAATGAACCTGTTTTGAAAGATCTATATTTTTAATGTTATATGAACATCAACAAAAGAGAACCAATAGAAAATAAAATAACGAAATAAAAACACATAATTTTGAAAAGTTATAAGAGATTGTCCATTTCATCCGTTTCAACTAAATTTCAAAAAAACACGATTTTCTTACCAATATTAGATGATGAGAAGAAATGGAGGCAAATATAGGAAACTGGAAAATAATTACATAGGATGGAAATCTTCCGCGATGTGTTTAACAAGTTGATTACAAAATTCGGCCTGATTTCTTATTAGAATACCTTTGCTATGGGTACATCTTTTTTACAAAACTTATCCAGGAGAATGGTTACAGATAGTAAAATTTGGCATGACTATTTGATTAATTCAGCAATACATTTGACTGGGATAGAAATTATATGTCATGTGTAAAAAAAATATCCTGCGAACAATTCTGCAGATTGTGAACCAACACAAATACAAATCAATCAAATCAATTTAAAAAATTTCATGTACATTCGTATGTTGTCGGGTCTTTATAAAGGACCGAAATTATTTCCTATTACCACTTGTATTCGTGGAGTAAATAACACAAATTCCAATTCGAATCGTTATGGAAGTCCACTGTTCTAGCTCGATCATACGAGGTATGAGTCTATGAACCAGAATTCCCTATCTTACATTTTACCTGGGAATATTGTCATAGCTATTTCTGTAAACACATTAGGCTTGCTAGTCATCAACGAATTTCCCATTTATTTATGGAAATTTGGCAAGGTATTACTATAATTTGAATAAGGTATTAATCTATGTGTTCCAGATAAAAATAAACAAGAAAAATATACTATTTCAAAAAAAATACTTACTGTAAAGTTTCGCAAAGACGTTGATCAAGTTTAATTTGGGTATGAATAACTTTGTTCTGTGTCTATGAACCCGAACCCCCTAAGTTACGTTATACCTTGAAAAGTTACCATCGCCAATTTAAAATTAAGCTTGCAACTCATCCACGAATTTCCGAGTTTATTATCGAAATTTTGGCACTGTTTTACTAGAATTTGAGTAAGACATCAATCTTCGTGATCTGGGTATAAATTAACATGAAAAACAAACTATTTCAAAAGAATTTATACTAATTTTGCAAGACCATAATAAAATTAAAACTATATGTCATTGATCGCTCCATATAGGATTTTAATAAAATCTACACCCAAATTTCTGATTGACTTATATTGTCCCATAATGGATTTAATCTGAGAAAGATATGTTTAAAATTTAAAATATATTAAATTAAAATTCCTAAATTTTTGGAAAACCCAAATAATCTGAGAGATTTTTTCCATTTTCATGTCCTTTACAAAATAACCATTTTGAAGGCAAAACACGTATTTTCTCATCGTCTGAGTATTGACAAGTTTTCCGGACTAGTTGAAATTGTCATTTTAATTGAAATATTCTAAGATTCCATACTACAATATAAATTTCAATTCCGACAACCATTAAAAAAACTGCAAAAATACAAATATTTTGTAAATATAAAATAAAAAATTTTATAACAAATATAGTTTAAATAAATAGCATTTATTTAAATGTAAAAAATTGTATTCCAAGTATGTATTAGAATATAATTTTTACGCAAACTAAACACATTTATTCAATCAATGTAATAGATAATGTAATAGATATATACAGATAATGTAAGTAATATACATAAGATTTATATATAAACACCAAGTCTTCCATTATCCTCAGGATATAAAACTTAACTCAATAAGAAATCATTGTCTTCCTATCTTCTTTGGTAAAAGGAGATAAAAATCGTCTTAAAAACAAAATCACCAAAGATAGCCAGAAATCAAATAATACAGATTATTTTTGAAAACAATAATAATCTCATAATTTTAAATTAGAAAAATCCATTGTCAGCCGCTAGTAGTTTAGTAGATACTCTTATTTTAGAAAATAAATATAATTTAAGCGGGTGTATTAATTCACGTTTTAAAACAAATTGACACTACTAATCACTCGGAATTCAAAAACTTAACCAATATTCAATAACTTAATTTCAGAACCATTTATGATTTAAGAAAAAAAATAATGGTTCAAAATAAGAAATAACAAGGTAATTCATTGTATTCATTTCCACTATTGTCATAATACGTAGTTTTCAATAAAATTCCGATCATTCGGTATCGAATTCAGAATAATTAAAATCTCTAAAACAGGAATTTATTTGAAAGAATCTGAGTTGGTATTTTAAAGAAATTCATAGTTTCCACATCTCCTCATAACACTCCCGTGTTTTCGATTGAAGCAAAAAGAAATTGTTAAACTTAATATTAAAAAAAACCACAACACGACATACTATTTAAAAATTAAAAATATATTTTTTGTAGAGGAACTGGATACCCTTCGTAATTTTAAAATAGTCATTTTTAGATATTCATATTCTTTCTTCTTCATATAGACTCCGTGTGAGATAAGGTTTTAAATCCAAAGAAATTCATAGTGATACCGTCTTTTCATAACATTTTTTTTTTTTCTTATAAAAAATGACCTTGTAAAACTCAATATGGGACACTTAAATTAAAATACTCAAAAAAGTATCAACTAGGTACGGAGTTAGTTTATTGGGAAACATTTCGAATTTTTAAATAGTTATTTTTAGAAATTCATAGTCTTTCTTCTTCAAATAGTAATCCTTGTGAAATAAGCTTTTAAATCCAAAGAAATTCATCGTCTTCCCATCTCCTCATAACCTTCCCGTGTTTTCTTATAAAAAAAGTTCCTTGTATCAATATGTGGCATTGATTTTAAAATACCCAAAAAAAGTATCACCTAGGAATAAAATTTTAAATTAAAAATATATTTTAAAATCGATGAAAAAATATCTATGTAACCAAATTTATTTTTGGTAGAAATCCATAGTTTTCCAATCTTCATATAAGGAGAGATCTATTTATTATAGAAGCAGATGTTTAAAATCTTCTTTGACCACAGAAAATCCTAATCATCTATTGCTGTAACCGAATTAGGTTTGGCAGGAAAATAAAATTTAACCATTGTCTTCCAATCTTCTTTGGTAAAAGAAGATCCAGCAGCGATTAAAAAATATCTATGTAACCAAATGTATTTTTGGTAGAAATCCATAGTCTTCCAATCTTTTCATATAAGGAAAGATCCATATATTTTATAGTATAAAAATTAAAAAAAAAAGAAAAAATAGTCTTAAAATCGATTAAAAATATCTATGTAACCAAATTTATTTTTGGTAGAAATCCATAGTCTTCCAATCTTTTCATATAAGGAAAGATCCATATATTATATAAGCAAATAATTATTTAATGTTAATAATAGCAAAAATAAAAGTAAAAAGAAAAATATTCTTGCATCAATTAACTAAACATTTCATATGAAAAAAGGAGAATATAATATGAAAATACTAAAATAATTCAAAAATAAACTAAAACATTTACGACAAAAGATATATTAAATTCAGAATCCATCGTCTTCCTATCTCCTTTCGTTAAAGGGTATATAAATCTAGTATCGTCAACAAAAAACTGGATTTTGTTTACAAATGTATTAATAATTACAAAATTATATACCAAATAAATGGTATTATTTACCTTTAAAGAAACAAATAAGCAAATTATATTACTTTGTAAAGAAGAGGCTCATTTCATAGCCACTAACCATGCAAAACTATTTAGATATAATTAAAAAAATAAAAACAATAAATAATAATAAACGTAAAAAAGTAACGACATAATATAACAAAAATCCAATGTCTTCCCATCTCCTTTGGTAAAAGGAGATAAAAATCGATTTGTTTTTAAATCACCAATAGCCCATAACAATAACTTTGTTATGAAAATAGAACAAAAACGATATATAAAAATTAAATATATAATTATAAAAAAAATATTCTAAAAAAAAATTATATATATAATCCACTGTCAACCATAGTTTTTAAGGAATTACATTGTCCAAAACGTAAAGCAGAGATCATTGTTAGAAACAGCAAATTTCAAATTTGTCCCATTTGTTCCTCTGTTGGTAAAAGAGAAAAAATCGAAAACTATATATTTTCGTATTTAATTTCAAAATTTTATAAAAGAAACTGAGATATAGTTTTTAAGAACTTCCTCTCTATAAAGAACACAATTTACAAATAGTTTTTACAGAAAATTAAAAAAGTCCAACTATGTTGTCCTCTGCCATACAACAACATCAACATCCACAATTCCACACCTTACATGCCAATGCCGCCACAACATCGGCCATTGCAGCAGCAGTAACCTCGTTAAAAGCCAAGAAACGACGTAAACGCCGTAAAAAGCCTCACACTGCTGATAGCCAAATGCCAAGTGCCACATTTCTAAGTGCCAACAAAAAATCTCAGAAATTAATGCAAACAACAAATACCACCAAACAATATTTTCAACACGACAATCGATTGATTTCTTCTTCTTCTTCGTCTTTAAACACCCAAAAAGAACATGGCAATAACATTACTACCATACACCATCATCATCACCACCACCAAAATACAACGACGGCAACAGTAGCCAGTGTATTTACCAAATATGTCAGCGAAAGTCAAATGCTCTATGCAGAGGTGGCGAAAAAATTCAAACCCCTAAAAAGTGTAACAAAACAAACACGGATAGCAAAACAGAAATCAAAACTTTTACAAAAGCAAAGGAAGCAAAAACAGCAGCAGCAACGATTCTCTCAGAGAAAGCAAACATATCAAGGGTTGGTGGTTGGAGGGCAAAAGAAACAACGAATAACTCAACAAAAACAAATGCTACCGGCTCAGGCTCTCTTACAACAACAACAGCCGACAGCATTACAACATTGTTTATGCTCCTGTGCACCACAAAGTGGTGTAACAGAAACAGCTGCTTTGGTGGCCCACAAGGCATCGTCATCATTATGCTCTAATACTTCCACGGCCACAACCACCACCACCTCCAATAATAACTATTTAAGTTGTTTTAATTTTAATAATACCCCAGCATTGCCAAAACTCTGGGGTATTTTACAAAATTCCACACCCACTATGCTCTTGGAGACTCTCATGAACAATGCCCAAATGTTAGAAACCAAAATTAATACTGGGCAGAGGTAAAGAAAAAACTGACTTCACAACAAAATCCATTCTATAAATTATTTAAACATAAATATTTTTCATATTAATTGTTTATTTTCCATTTATTTCTTTCAGTGTCCGTGATACCCATCAAATTGCCGAAGCACAACAGGAGAAAAACGCCAAGCTACGTGAAGCCTTCAACATATCAGAGTATTTCGTTGAAGGTTCCAGTTTCGATTCGGATCGCAAAGCTAAAGAAGATTTAGCTAAAAGTTTGGCATTACAAAAAGAACTGGACGCTCAACGTGAACAGGCGGCCGCAGCAGCCTCTGCTGCAGCAGCTAAAGACAAGGAATCATCGAAACGTTATGCTTTAGTACGGACACCGTCCAGAGAACGTGATGTTCCATCATCTGGTGGAGGTGGTGGCGGCGGTGTTGATGGAGTTGGACTAGGTGGAAATGGAGATAATGATGAGCATTCCATTAAAAAGAAGAAAAAGAAAAGAACACGTGAGAGGTAAGAAAATGTATTTCTAATATTTGTTGTTTGTGATTGTAGGGGAAATTTATAAAAATGTATTTTCAGAAGTCTTTCTGAGAGACGACCTTCAAAAGGTATCATGAAAAAAGTTCTACTATGTTTTTAAAGGCTCTCGGAGGGATTTATGTGTATGAAAAACCCTTAGAAAGTTTACTTTTGGTAGCCCGAGGCTTCATGAAAGAAGGGCTATAAGGCTAATACACCTTTAGAAGATTCCCAGAAGGGAGATTTCTAGGTGGTATTTTTGTTGCAAATAGATAATGTAAAGAAAACCTTCAAAAAGTCTTCTAAGTGGGAAAAATCTAAAGATCGTCTTCAATGTATAGAAGGCGTCAGAAAGGATGGTATCTGAAGAAGATCATCTCTGTGTTGAAGACTCCAAGAAAATCCTCTAAAACACCTCCACAAAATCTACTTTGTATAGGGTATATAAAGACTTCTGAAAGGGTTATAGGTTGTCTATCAATAAAAGACCTCCAGAATGAAGATTTTTATATGGTTTTTCTTGTATGGAATACTGTCAAATGGACAGTGTACAGAAGACCGTCGTCCAAGAGCAGTAGATCTTAGATCGTTTTCTATGTATAGAATGCCTCAGAAGGATCGTCTCTGAAGAAGGTCTTCTATTTGTCGAAGAATTTCAAAAGGTCCCATATGCTTTGAAGATCTCATTTTCCTCTATATTAAGTACGACCCATGAATAGTTTATATAGAAAACTTTTTGAAAGGGCTTGCCTCCATGAGGTATTTTGCTTGGGCTGCTTTATCTTCCACAAAGGCAAGTTTTCCAGATGGTATTTTTTTGTGTAAAATACAGCCAGAAGGACAAGGACCTTCAAAATGTCTAGAAGTCTAAATGTTCTAACAAATCGAAATCCAAAATAAATTTTAGGTATCAAATATTTCCGGAATATATACAATAATTATGGAAACCTTATGGAAGTTTTATTATGTGTCTTCTATGTTTGAAAGACCCACAAAAGGTTTTCTAAATATAAAAGAACTCCAGAAAGTCTTCTGTGTATAAAAGGCCTCTAAGTGCAGAAGACCTCCAGAAGGTATTTAGTGTCATCAAAAGGTCTTCTATGTATATAACACCTCCTAAGGTCTTATGCTTTTCAAAAAGCTACAGAAGGTCTTTAATGTGTTTAGAAAACTTCCAGATGCCTTCAATTATGGGATACTCCTAGATAAGCTAAATATAGAATATATCTAAAAAGTTTTCTGTGTATAAAACATTTCTAAGTCAGAAGATCTTAAGAAGGTAGTTTGTTCATAAAAGGCCTCCAAATGTCTTCTGTAAATAGAGGGTCTTATGTGTTTAGAAGAAACCCATATAGAAGACCTATGGAAAGTCTTTTGTATAAAAGGCTTCTACAATGTCTTCTATGAATAGAGGTATCCCTGAAGACCTTCAAAATGTACCATGTGTTTAGAAGAAAAGGTCTCCGTGTATATTAGATCTCACAAAAACCTTTCTCTCACAGGAGACCACAAGAAAATCTATTATTTACTGAGGACACAGAGATTCGATGATAGGATCTCCAAGTTTTTCTATGCATAGAAGATCTCTGGGATATATGCAAAGTATGAAATAGCTTCAAGGGGTCTTCTTCTATAGAATAACTTCAAGGTGTCTTAAGTTGTCCTCTTTTATTAAAAACCCCTTGGGGTCTTCTTTTATAGAAAAATCCATTGTTTTCCTTATAGAAAACTCTTTCGGCTTTTCCATTATAGAAACCCTTTAGATGGATTCTGTAGATGATTTGAAAGGGGATTTTTTTCTTGTCTTCTTTTATAAAAAGCCTCTAAAGGGGCTTTTTTTAATGAACCACAACGGTTAGCTTCAGTAATACCACTGTGGGCAGAGGTTAAAATTTTTATACCCTCCACCATAGTATGGAGGGTATATTAAGTTTGCCATTCCGCTTGCAACGCCTCGAAATATAAATTTTAGACCCCACAAAGTATATATATTCTTGATCAGCATAAAGATTTTTCTATGTCGATTTTTTGATGTCTTTCCGTCTGTGGAAATCACTTCCTTCCGAGCTTCCGAACGAAATGAAGTAGGTTGATAAAATGTTACTCAAGCGCATATTATGTCTTTTGGGATTGAAAATGGGCCATGTAGGTCTAGGTTTTGCTATAAACCCCCCCGGTTTTTGGTGATTTAGGCGACATTATTCACCGGAATTTTTTCAAATTTGGCATTTGAAGTTTGTAATGGAATATGACAGAAAATTGTCTGTGAAGGTCTACGTTTTGCTATAGCCCCCATATAATGGTACCTTCCTATTTTCGGTATTTTGGTGATTTAAGTGACATTATTCACCGGAAATGTTTCAAATTTGGCATTTGAAGTTCGTAATGGATACTACAGCCTAAGACAGAAAATTGCATGTACAGTTCAACGGAATTCGGAATTCTAATAATTTTAGCAGCAATATTCAACGATTTTCTTTGCATTTTTCAAGTTCCATCCAAATGGTGTAGGGTAATACCCGGCCCGAATTTAGCTACTTGTTTCCTCTACAAAGGAAGACAACTTTTTCCTCCAAGGGTCCAAACTTTCTCTAGTGCAAAAATTTGTTGTTTTTTTTTCTTAAAATGTTTAAATTTAATTATAAGAAATTCTTCAAAATTGGGTTGAATACAAAAAAAAAAAAAAAAAAAAAAAACAGGAGAGCATGGTCTTGCTTTGGTCTAAAACTACAATTTTCAAACCTTGTAATTATGTAATCCTTTTTAAAAAAATATTTAAAATATGCTTAACAATCCACTTTTTTATTCTTCTTTGCAGCTCCAACAGTCCCGAACGTAAAAAGGATAAAAAGAAAAAATCCAAGAAACACAAAAAAGAAAGGTATGTCAAACAAAATTAATTCGAACGCAGCCATATTTTGTGTTGTTGTATATTATTGTACTAGATTTTCTAGGTCATGTGTTTCTAAAAAAAATAATGTAATGATAACCTAACTTTTAAGTTTATTTATTATGATTTGTCTTTTATTTGTAGAACAGAACCATATATTTTAATTTGTTTTAACTTTCATTTGTTTTTGTATTCTGTAGTGGATTTTCCTTTTTTTCGTTTTTAATTATTTAAAACATCATCGTGTATTTTTTTTAGTTCTTCAACTTAATCTTAAATCTATCAAATAATCCAAAAAACAACCAACAACAAAAAAATCAATTTTAAATGAATTCTTTCTTCTTTATCAATTGCTTCATATATTTTTTATTCTCTACTTTCTCTGCATTTTTTTAATTAATACCGAAAAATGAAAACAACCTTTCAAAACCAATAATTAATTACCGATTCAAAATATGTATAACACACACAATCCCAACCAACCAACCAAACCCCCCACCCGAAACGAAGCAGGAATTCTTCTTATGAAAAAGAAAGAAAAAAGAAACGAAAACATTAATTAAATAATTCGTTTTTGTGTGGTATATATTTTGTTTTCTTATATAAGATATTTATACAACAAGAACAAAAATAAATACAAAACATTGACTATTTTGCCATTAAAATGAGAAGACAACAATCTAGAATAACGAATCAACAAACAAATTTAATGTACAAAAAAGAAACCGTTTTTAAAAGAACCAAAAAACAAACAACAAAAATTTTCTACATCACAAAGAACATTTTTTTATTAGTAAAGCGTAAACGTCGAAATTCAACCAAGTTGTGATTATTTGTCAAACAACTTTAAGAGAACGTCATTAATACTTTTCTATCTCTCCCTTTAAACCAAAAAAAAAAGATATATATTTTAACAAAAAACAACCAGAAACAATTATTAATCCATCTTATCTTTATTATCTGATATACATTGTATTTTATTTTGAAATATTTTTTTACAATAATTATCGATTTTTTTGAAAAAAACCAAAAAAAAAAAATTACTCGGCTTTAACCATTTATAACAAAACAAAATAATCCTATAACGACAACGGGGTAAGTAATCAACATTTTGTTTTGCATTTCATTCCATTTTGAGATCATAATTTTAAGTTTAAAACACACCCACACCACCTAACTTCGCATACATATGTTTTTCAATTGCAGTTGTGTTTGGAAATTGAAGTTAGATATTAAAAAAAAAATAGGAATATCCAATATCCAGCTTCAATTCGCCTAGACATTTTTTTGTGTTCCTTAGAAATTATTCACTTCACATTGTTATTTTTAGTATTTTTATATAGTGCTTCGTTTTTATTTCTTTTAACCAACCCCCTTTCCTCCCCCCTCTATCTTTCTCTACATATGATTTCAAAAAATACGATTTACCGTAAACCCTCTTTCCATTGCAAAAAAAAGTTACATAAATAAAACCAAAGTCTGTTTGTTGCCTTGTTGACGTTTTTTTTTAATCAAAAATATGAAAATTAAATAACACAGAACTTTAGTTAAATTTATACCTATTCTCTTCTTCTACTACTTCAACAACAACGTTGGTTGAACATTTTAAAACAATACAATTATTTTCTCATCTTTCTTTTTTAATTATTTTCGTAAAGACTAACCAGTAAAGAAGTATTTTCATTAAGGTAAACCAACAACAATAAAAGTGTGTTAAGAAAAATTTCCCAAAAACAAATAAATAAACGAATACAAAATATTAGGAAAACAATAAAATATAGTGTATGGTAACATAAGGATGTTTATATACAAGAAGCTAAGATTCAGTTGATTAAAATATGCTACAATTTCGAATTCATATTTTCTGTCGATTATTTCAAATATCATATTTTTTTTGCACATTTACTCATCGATGAGTGTTTGACAAACACAATATATGTGGGTATGTTTAGTTAAGGAAATGCCGCCATTGTTTTTGAATTATGAAGAAATTTGCTATTATTTTAGTTATTGAAACATTTAAACTAATTCCTAATCTAAACCCATATTCATGACAACAAAAACATAACTCCCCTCTTGTTTCTAAAACAATTGATGGAAGTTTATTTATAGATTTTTAGTGAAGTGATTACTTTAATGACATTTTTGAATATTTGACACGGAAAAGTTAATTTTATTTAGTTTTGAAAGTCCTGATATTTGGTATAAGAATCGATTTGAATGTCTTGAAAATTCTACTTTTTTGGGGTAAAAATGTGCAGAGATGGGCCAAGATTTTAAGAGCATTCTTTCTAGAGGTTTCAAAAAATCTCCTTTTAGCGTTTTTGAACCTCAATAAATAAATTGGCAGCCAAAATATACCCTTATTAAAAAATTTTAGATATGCTCGACGATTTTAGAACTATTTTGTGAAAATACATTTCATCAACTTCACTGACGAATATATCGACCCAGCCTATAGCCGAGGAATGAGTTTAATGGGCGGCATCAGAGCGCAGCACCCAAACTAACGAACGAAGCCATATATCACGAACTGTAGCATTCAAATAATTGTCCCAATCAGCAGATCTCCAGATTTCTGCAAAATAAGGGTTTAAGGAACAGAAAAGTGTTGAGATATGGACGTAGAAGCAAAATTTTTATATTACGCCAAGCTGGCAGACCTGACATCGAAACGTTGGTAACCATTTACAAATATGAACAAGTAAGCAAAGGCAAATGATGTCATAGGGCCCTGAAAAGATGTTACCATTAGTTTTTGACCGGGGTCATTTGCCCAATATTAGATCCCTCACAATAACATTAGGCCTTAATTGGACGGTATTAAAAATATTCGTGCAGGAAATTTTTCTGTTTTTGTCCACTTTATTTCTTAAATATTTTACGATCATTTCCAAAAAGAATAGGGTTCTATACTGGCCGTATTCCCACCCCCATTGATTTTTGATTGATTACAAATTAACATGGGCAGACGGACATACACAGCTAGATCGGCTCAGCTCGGCGAGATAGGAAGATCCATATAGTTTCCTATGTCGGGGAGCAATATTTCAAAGTGTTACATGCTTTTGGCCCAATCAAACTTATAATACCACCAACATATAGTGTTGTAGGGGATAAAAATCGTCTTAAATCACTTCGAAGTTTCAAAAATTCTACAAACTTGTACAAACGTTGTGTTGTTAAGCACAAATGTGTAGGGTTGACCCTTTATCTTACCTATAAGAAATATTCACCACGAATCCAATGGCTTAAATAAAGCCTGGGCTGACGAGGAAAATTAATATCAAAATGCAATAGGTGTCAACATTTCTGGTTTGGTTTACCTGCTTCACTCGCAGACCTTTGACCCATTGTGTTTATCCTAGGAAGATTAAAGTTTTGGGTAATAGGAGATATATAGAAGGAGAAGAAAGGGTTTATAGATAGACATACAATTTGGAGGGTCGTTTGGTTAGCTAGAGAATATTTTTAGCAAACATGTAGATGATGATGGGATCTACGTTTGAAAAGAACGTTCGAATTTCTTTTTCCCAACTGTCAAATAGACTATGTCTCTTCTTGGATGACATGGGACATCAGCATAGTAGGTGTCTTGCAATCACATTTTGAGTCGATTCATATATATTTGTCCTTCAGTCTGTCCCTGTATTTTTGTAAACAAAATATAGGTCGCATTTATTGCTCGACCGAATTGAAATTCTGCACAGATCATTTGTTTAGCCCAAGGACGACCTCTATTGAAACAGGAGATAATCGTTCAAAGTTAAGATATGACTCCCGTATATATCTTTGTCCAATTTCTATTTTGTTGTGCACCAAATGTTTAATATTAGCCCAAATAGGATGGAATTTGTCATTTGCGACCAAACTGACCCAAAAATTTAATAAAAAATAAGAATAAGCTCCCATATATATTTTTCATTCGATTTGTTGTTTTTTGTCCCCACAGCCGTAATATGAACTTGTTAACAAGGATATTTGGGAAAATATATAAAATACAGCTTAGAAATACCTTTGCTAATTTTTATAGAAATCGGTTCAGATTTAAATAAAACTCACCCAAATTGAATGGATTTTGAAACACCTGGCAGAATTCTAACTAGAAAAAACTGTGTTAAATTTCATGAAAATCGGCTATATCTATAGGTCCCGTATATATGTTTCACTTGATTTTGATATTTAATTCCCTCACCCCCGTAAAATTCACTCCCCAACAACGATATTTGGTGACTGTAATCAAATACAGAATAGAAAAATTCTGCAAAATTTTATGAAGATCGGTTCAGATTTGGATATAGCTCCCATATATATCTTCTTTCGATTTCATGTTTATCATGAGAGGATTTTCATAACAGTTTTCACCCTTTCATGTTTTCCTAAAGAGGTGTTCGTTCCTCTTTTCTTTTTAGGTCGATATTTTTTGTTAATTTGAATAATTCGGAAGGCGGTGTGTTTCCTTTCCAGATTCTTAAGAAACAATTTTGTAAATTTTTTTTCAAAGGCAAAATAACTATTATTTCTTTAGACTATAGCAATTGTTTTATAGAGTAGGATAACATTTATATTATAAAAAAATATGTGTTACTCGGTATACGTCTACCATTTCAATTTTCGTCCCGTTTCTTCACATTGAATGAATGATTCGTCATAAAGAAGTATATCGTCGTATTGTCAAAATATGTGGAATAGACACTTAGGAAACTTAAAAACTTGGTTATATTAGAATACTTACTGTATAATTTAAAATGTATCTAAAGAAGTATATGTTATAAGTAAATTTGCAGCGATATTTTTTAATAATTAACGGTACAATTAATGTAACAAACTGTTTAAAACTTTTTTCGTATCTTCAAAAAACACACCATGTAAAATACAAAAATTATTAACATGTTGTAAAACCCCCCGTTTACTTGCAGTAAATCCAAAAAGAAGAAATCACGTAAACGTAAATCCAGCGAATCGGATAGTGATGATGCTGACAATCGCAAAGATACGGGCGATGAGAATGATTCCTCGGATTCCGAAGGCGAGGTGAAGAAGAGTCGCAAAAAATCCAAAAAGGATAAGGTGAGTAGAAGCTATGACATGACAATACACCATAAAACAAAGACAACTACATTTAATAGAGTTGACTAAACTACTGAGATTAAAGAATATATAAATCATGCACTGTTTGTTTATTTCCAAAAAAATATGTATTAAAAAAAAATAATCTTTTCTAAATCTATTACCTATTACTACTTCTACTATAATGGATAATAATAACAAAACAATAAATTCACATTTATTCTAATTCAGAAACAAGTAAAAATTAAAATTATCATCATTACTTCTTCTTGCTTGATATGTTTGTTTTACTTTTTCTTGTTTTTTCCTCAAACTTCAATGAAATCTTTTCCAAATGAATTTTTCTCCTAAATAAATGAAAAATATCTAAAATCAATATTTATAACCACATCAATCGATCGATTTTCCTTAAAATCTAAATCCAAGGTAATCATTTTATTTGATGTTTTTTGTTTGATTTTCATAATTTCCTTTTTGTAAATACAAACAAAATTGCAAAATAATTTGGAAATTCAAATTGTATTTAACACCCTTTTACTAAAAAAGCATATATATTGGAATTCTTAGATCCGTAGTGAGAAATTTGGAAAATCATTGTATTTCTAATTGATTATTAAAATAACAAGCATTTTATATTCGAGAAAAATATATTTCCGAGGGTTAACAAAATGAATAATGGTCAATAGAACGTCCTAATCCCTATGATCGATAGGAATTTTCAGTACATTGTCATTCGAAATATTCCATATTTTGGAATTGAGAAAATTATATCGGTGCACCATTTGAGAACTCCAGAAACAAGAGACCGACAATGGAAGCACTAGGTCAGTCAGTGAAAAATGCAAGCTCTTTGGGGACTTAACCAGAATAAGCTGTTTTACTTTGGTGCTTGATAAAGTTAATCCCTAGGAAATAAACATCGGTCGATAAACTCTAAAAAAACCAAAAACAAAGGCTTTACAATGGTAACTTCCAAGGGTTAGTCAGTGAAAAAATGTAGCGTTTTAGGAGCTTAAACAGAACAAACTGTGTGATGACCGAGTAATGATCTTTAGTTCACCAATGAGATAATCACCATATGTGGTGAGCCCATAAGGAAACATTGTAAGACGGCAAGCCGATGTGGTATGCAAACGTATTTCTATTCACCCCTGGCACAACGTGGATTAAGAACGGCAACATGGTATCTCCCTATGACCCCTTCTAAACGAGGGATTCTTATCCAGCCTCAAACTATCGTTCAAGGCTGAAAAGTATTTATGTGGGTCAACAAACTAAAGCCGAACTGACGACTTTGCCATAGGCTGTCAAATCGGCATCTTTCGTGATCACAATTGGGCAACAAACCAATTATGATCCACAAGCATAGTATCTGAATTAACGGCACAACCTCAACCATTTTGTTTGATTGTTATGATCTGCAAATTACATTTGTTTTGGCACTATTAAGATCGACTTGTATTGGACACGTCATGTGGTTTGGGGTTCAATTTTTTTTGATATCCAAGTGAAACTATTTTAACAACTTCGTTATGGACCCATCCTATACAGGACGATCCTATTGGGATTTTGAAATTTCCAGGCAATTGGAAGGGCATATTTTTGGGCCTGTTGTGTAGAAAAAGGGCTGCCAACAGGGCATCTGCAATATGCTATCCATATTACAAAGTTGCTCGTGAGCTCGTCAGCATTCTTTTAGTTTTCGGGTTGGATCTTGGGCAATAGTGCTGGAGTCTCAACTGGGAAATTTTTTCTGGAATCTTAATTCCCCGCCAACGTCTACCTGTGAAACCCTATGGTTGATTTCTGTTTTTAATTTTTACAACCACCTTGAAACTATCTATCTGTTGTGTAAATAGATGGGCTAGAGCCAGAACATTTCCGTCCCACTTTCATTGCCACCAATACCACCGAATATCAGTTTCCAGTTTTAACGCCTGTTGTAGCCAAATGGCTATTGGAAAAAAACTTCCTAAACGACGAATGAACGAGTTTTTAAGCAAAATGCTCAACAAATTTCTTAGCATATTAGAGCACAGCCGGGCAGAAAGTCGCAATTTTTATATCCTCCACCTTGAAAAGGAGGGTATATTAACTTTGTCACTCCATTTTTAACATTCCTAAATATTCGTCGAAGACTTTTAATACATTCATAATCAGCATGAAATTCTAAGTCGATTTAACGACGTCCGTCTGTCTGTCCGTCTATCTGTGGAAATCATGATACAGCCCACATTATTTGACGTAGAGCTTCAAAATTTGGTACAACGATGTATATTATGTCCATGGTGGTTGGTATTGAAAATCAGATGTATCGGTCCACGTTTTGGTATAGCCGCCACATAAAGGTAACTTCCGATATCCGATTCTCGCCACATTTTTTACGCACATTGTTTTCCGGTGAAGAAACATTATATGTATAGATCCACGTTTCTGTATAGCCCCCATGTAACGGACCGCCCCACGTTCGGTATTTTGATGATTTGTGTCACATTTTCCCACGGATTTGTCTAAAAATTGGTATCGCAACATTGTATGTATAGGTCTTTTATAGCCCCCATATAACGAAACCGCCCCATATTCGGTATTTTGATAATTTTTTTTCACATTTTCCCACGGATATGTCCAAAAATAGGTATTTGTAGTTCGTAGTAGGCCCCACATAATGGTACCTTCGAATATTCAGTCATTTGATTATTTTTACCACGTGTTTTCACGGATTTTTCTAAAAATTGGCAGATGTAGTTCATAATGGGTTCTAGTTCTGGTGGCAGAACATTGAATATTTAGGTCCACGTTTTCCTATAGCGCACATAATCCTAGTCACATTTACCCACGAAATTGTGTCAAATTTTGTTTTACGAAGATTTGGTTTGAATTTAGATACTTTTATACAAAAATGTTTTCTTTTCCAAAGGTGGAGGGTATTAGAAGTTCGTATGTGTGCAGAGAATTACGCATGTCTGCTTTTGTCTGACCCTGTATTGGAGCTTCCCTAATGCTATTGTTGCTCTCAATCACTACTTTTACTCTGGGATAAAAGTTGGGCCAACAAAACATATTCTGTAGCTTTTAAACCTCTGTGTCTTTTTAGAAAGTATGTAGGAATCTGTCTTCTAATATTTGTCACCATTGGTTTCGTTACAACGGAGCCACCTGATTGAGGGGTTTCGAAAGTAAAGGGTGTTAAATATTAATGGAAACCATTTCTAACTCAAGCAATTCTAAATTATTTTATTTTGTTAAAAGAAAAACTATTAAAATTAAAATATGATAACCTTTATTTACGACAAAAAATTTTATTTGTGTGTATATATATACTAAAAATATATTTGAAAAACAAATCCCTGGCGCTTCATTTAAATAGGATAGCTTTCGAAAGGCTCTCTAGTAGTTTTGTAAGTACTTTCATTTAGAACTTTAAAAATCTTGATTTTTTGTTTTATTATTTCTCATATAGATCTAACTTGAGTTTATGCAAAAAAAAGATAATTTTAATTAAAAATAGTATAAAATGAATGCATTTTTAGTGATATTTTCAAAACCCCCCCAAACAAAAAAGTTGCATCCAATAATGAATGCATTGTTTAAAAATAAAACATCAATATATTATTTATTTTACACAAAAAATATGTTTCTTATTTTTAGGATGTAACACCACACCTTTTGTAGAGTGTCAATATTTGAAGTATTAATTATTACTTTCTTCTTCTTTCCCATACAGAAAAAGCGTGAGAAAAAATTGAAACGGCGAGAGCGATCATCATCTTCGGAAAAATCAAGATCAAAGTAAGTTTTCAGAAACAATTAACCTGATTCTGTAATTATTACAATCGAATCGCTTCAATAGGGATTTTATGTATACAAGAGAATCTTAAAGGCTTCTCTAAAAAAATAGTCTTTTAAAATTTCTTCTACGGATAAAAAACCTTTCAACAAGTCTTCGATTGAAATGCCTTAATTATGTCTTCGATCAAAAGAAGACCTTTAAAAGGTCTTCATCCAAAAGAAGTCATTTAAAAGATCTTTGATCGAAAGAAGTCTTAAAAAGTTATCAATAGTAAGATGATCTCTTAAATATTCTCCGCAGAAAGAACCCTTTTTAAAAGATCTTCAATTGAAAAAGACCTCTGAATATATTCCCAAGATTAAATTTATTTATCTAAATATTAATATTTTTCACAAATTTTCTTTTACAGCTCTCCCGTAAGCAAAGCTGCAGATTCCAAGAAGGAAAGCTCGGACGTGAAAAAGGCAAATCCTTTCCGTAGTCGCTCGAAAGAACGTCAAAACTCCTCCAAACCTAGAGAGAGCAGTGGAAAACGTCAACATGATTCATCGCAAGAGAATCGCCAGCGACGTAGCCGTAGTCGCAGTCGCCATGAGAGGAATACTAGAAATGACGATCGAAAACAACGTACCAATGACAGTCGAGATTCACATCAAAGACGTGTCTCCCCCGACCATAGGAGCTATAGTCGTGCTGATGGTGGCGGTGATCGTCGTGACCCTAATAGGGATTCTCGGCGCCATTCACCTACCTCCCGATCAAGGCGACGTGATGGCACCACACCCGAACGTTTACAAGAACGTAAACGTAAATATTCCGGTGATCGTCAATCGCCAAGACGTCGTGAAAGTCGTAGCATGGAAAAGAGACAGAAATATTCAAGGTCACGATCCGTACATCGTGATGTCAAGACCAAAACAAATATTTCTCCAAAAAAGAGAAATAGCATTTCAAGATCTCGTTCCAGGACACCGCGACGACGAAGTGTGGAACGTAGTAAAGTATTACGAAAAGAAAAATCTAGATCCAAATCTCCCATTCGCAAAGAGAAACGTAGAACTTCATTGTCCCGGGAAAATAGGAGACGTTCTAGGTCACCATCGCCGAGACATGAAAGCGGAAAATCTAAGACGCCCGCTATGAAGGAGAGGCGTAGATCTAGATCTCCGGTATTAAATGAAAGACGTCGTTCCAAATCTCCTAACTTGGGTGAAAGGCGTCGATCCAAGTCGCCTGTGGCTTCGTCTCAAAGACGTAGATCCAAATCTCCAATTGGAAAAGAAAGACGTAGGTCAGTATCTAAAGCTTCGGCAATTAGAGAGAGGAAAAGATCTAGGTCTCCCATGACAAGGGAAAGGAAGTTATCTAGATCTCCTGTTGCCGAAAGGAGAAGAAGCAGATCAAAGTCGCCTGTTGTCAAGGGCAGATCTAAATCTCCCCTTTCCAGAGGAAGGCGACGATCTCGCTCGCCCATTTCAAAGGCTGAATCACATGAGCCGGCCAACAAACGTAATAGATCGGATGAAACCCGAAATAAAACTGAACGCAAAACCCGGGATATATCAAATGAGAGGCGGACTAAACGAGCCCCATCCGAGGAGAGCAAAAAGTCAAGTTCCTCTAAGGTAACTAGAGGTGAACATACAAAGAGCACAAATGCGGTGGTTCAAAAAGAAAAAGAACGATCCCAATCCAGCTCATCCACATCTTCAGATTCTGCCTCCTCTTCGGGTAGTGAGAGTTCTCGTTCACGCAGCAGATCTCCTCAGAAGAAAAAGAAAACAAATAATAAGAAATCCAATCGTAAATCCAGATCAGCTAGTCCCAAAACAGCCTCCACATCCGATAATCCGGAAAGGTTAAAGTATTTGCGTTCCCCTGTACGGCCTTCGTCTAGAACATCACCTGCGGCAAGGCAGGAGAACAAACCCAAATCACGGGAACGTGATACCTCAGCTGAAGAGGGTAATAGACATGAGAATACTCCACCCAGATTGGAGAAGAAGAAAAATTCTCCACGATCCTCTAGGGATTCATCGGAACTTAGCTATTCTCCAGCTCTGCGCAACCCGGAACGTTATCGCGATATTTTAGAAAATGCCAATAAGCAAAAGGCCGAAAAACATCACAAAGAAACAGAATCAGAGTCGTCGGGTAAAACTCAAAGAAAATCCTCATCGTCGTCGTCGAAACGTCAACAGGACGAACCATCGACAGATGGCAAGGAACAAAAACGTAAAGATGGCAGTGAAGCCACTAAGCGGGATAAAAATCACTCGCTCAAACCCCGCGTCCACCTACAGTCTCAAAGCGAAGACGAGAACAGCGACACTGCTGAGCGCAATACGGAAAAAATTCTCGAGGAATTCCAAGAATCAAAACGTGGTCGTGAATTGAAGGATTTGAAAATGTTGGAACAGCTGAAGACCGGCATTGCCGCCAAAGCCAAGGAGAAAATCAAAACAATTGAAAAAATGGCAAATTCATCGACGGCCATGTCAGCGGCCTCCACCTCGGCTGGCGGAGATGTAAGTGATCAAAGTTATGCTGCCTCGAAACGAGGCATACGCAACTCTCTAAATGACTTTTTGGCTGCGAATAATAAAGCGCCAGCTGTAGTAGCGACATCATCACAAAATCTAACGGCCAACTCACCGGCTGGAGCTATTTATCCACAGACTTTAGAAGAAATAACCAAAGAACAAAAGTCTCAAACACAGACAAACAAAGTTAGTGAGCGTGAGGAAGTACAGACCACAACAACAACGACGACGACCACGACCTCGACGGAACGAAGAACGGACACTGAAACGCAGGCTGATTGCAAAAAGCCTCCAACGGCTGCAAATGGCCATGCGCACACAAGTCCAAAAGTAAATGCCAGACCACCGCCACCGCTTTATTGCAGTGGCGTGGAAAGGGAGCGTAAACGTGATCAATATCATTATCATCGTGAGCGTGACGCCAAAGATAGTAGGGACCTTAAACCACGTGAACCTCTTAACCACAACAAAGAGCGTTTCAACGATCGCCGTCAAAGGCAGTCGCCTTCCGCTTATGGAGGTGGTGGTGGTGGGGGCGTAGGAGCAGGGGGTCCCCGGCGGCCCAATAATCTCAACATGCATCCGCCACACAATCACAATCATCGACAACCGCGTATGAATGGCAACATGGTGGGTGGCATGGGAGCAGGTGGTGGTGGGCCACATCATCATCACCATCACAATCATCACCTAAATAATCATCACAACAATCCCAACTCCCCATTTGCTAACTCAAATGCTAACCACTCTCTTAACCCTAACAACAACAATAACTCTATTAACCTTTCTTTCAATCGTCCTAGTCGCATTAACAACACCCCCCTTATAACAGCCACTCAGTTCAATAACCAAATGCTTAGTAAGCAATCGAACAGTATTCTAGTCAATCGTCGTGATCATCGTACCGCTTTAACAATGGGTCTCAGTGCCACCCCCTCTACTAACTACTCCAATACGAATTTGTTGCTAACCAAAGCTAATCTTAATAGCAATCATCAGCTACATGGTTTCCAACACCAGCACCACCTTCCGCATCATCACCACCACCACCATCATCATCATCATAGCAATTCGAATTCGAACACTAGTAGCTCCCAAATAACCGATCGTATTTTGATGGCCGCCTCTATAGCGGCGGCCCAGCGTCACAGTTTAGGACTGACCGCTGCGACGTCGAATAGTTTAAATCTCTTGCAACAGCAAACGAATGCTAAGCCCAAAATTGTAATAAAACCTTTTAAAATTAATGATTCACAGCCTTTGGTCGCACTGGCGGACTCATCGCTCGTAGATGCCATTGTGTCGAAAGTGTCGACGGCAACGGTGGCAGCGGCCGAGAGTGCGGCTCGACGAAGTCGCAGTCGGTCGCGACGCAGCCGCAGTCGTACACGCAAGGATGATGGCAACGGTGGAGGAGATCGTTCGGAACGTGACACAACCGGTGGCAGTGGACGTGGTCGTTCCAAGTCGCATTCAAGATCATCGTAAGTTGAATGAAAATGATTTTTGGGATTTTTTTTTTATTTGGGTCATGAGTATTTTTTTTTTCGGGCATTTTCATATTCTTATTGCTATTCCTTTTTTTGTATTTGTAGATCTTCTTCAAGTCGCAGTCGTAGTCGTAGCCACAGTCGACGTAGTTCACGCTCACGTTCTCATTCCTCACACTCTAGTTCATCGTCCCGCAGTTCATCGAGGAGTTCATCTAGGTAAGTTTGGGGATAAAATGGCAGATATATCCGCGAATTTGTAGAAATGGTTTTTAGAGACTTATAGCTATTAACCTTGAATCATTCAAAATTTTTAATGTTCGGCTGGGTCGATTTTTTATGCCCGAGGGGGTATCGAAACGTGACCATAATTTGAATACCTTTAACGAGGAGTTAAATACTATGCTACTCATTAAAAAATTTGATGAACCATAATAGAAAACTATTAAAAAACGACTGAATCGAGTTTTTTATGTCCTTCGCCATGTGAAAACTCGACGTGTAGCACAAATTCCTACAGTTTAGAGTTTTTTTATATTTAGGATTTAACAATTATTTGAGAGCAATCAAAATATTAGAATTACAATTGATTTTTAAGAGGGAGCTCTTTACAGATTTCCACAAACGAACTGATGGATATGAAGTACATACGTTTTCTAGATAAGATAGACTTATTATCAACATTATCTAGATAATGTAAATACTTTATTCACATTATCTAGGTGTCATAAATACTTCATCTACGCTATCCAGGTAACGTAGTCACATTGTCCAGGTTATGTACTATGTAATATAGATAAATTATTCACGTTATCTAGGTGACTTACATACAATATCTACGTTATCTTGATAACATATATATTTCATCCTCGTTATCCACATGACTTAGATAGATACATTATCGGCGTTATTTGGATGATATTTTGACAATTTCGATAAAATTTTATTTGTCATCATAATGACATACATATATGCCTGTTTAAATTACTCCACGTTATCTAGAAAATATATCCATTATCGCCGGTTTTGATATTCATTATTTTGTTTTTTTTTTTTCATTTATCTGAATGACGTAGATATAGTATCCACATCATCCACAGTTACTCAATCCAATTTTTCCAGATACATTAGATCGTATAGATACTTTACCCATCCTTTCTCCACAGTATAAACCGTATTACATGTTATCTTAATGGCAAACATGGCCCTCAGCTATATGGCTAGGAAGGGTATATATCATTTGAAACGGAAAAAACGTGCGCCATCCAAATAACAATTCTAAACCCTGGGTCTCTTTGGACAAAATCCGTTTCAGGACATTTGGAGTCGATCTAGCGTTGTCCGTCCGTCTGTCTGGTTGTTGCGCACGATAACTCTCGTAGGAAGTATTCGCTTTGATCCAAACTATGTATATCCTAATATTTTTGTCAAACTTAGATCGAGTTCGGAGATAGGCTCCTTCTGGTAGCTCCCCCAAAAAATGTCAACATTTTCAAAGAAAATAATTTACTGCACAGAAAGGGAAAGGATAATCTGATTTTGCTCTAACTTTGCAAATCCTAGTATTTGCTAGGTTAGGTGCGAAAATATCGGTTCACTCCATCAAGTACCTCTCTCACAAAGGGTCAATATGTTGAATAATTATAGTTCTTATAAGATGCGAAATAAACATCCGATTGTCCTCAAATTACACACATCACAATATTTTTATTAACCCAAGGTCTGATGTGAAGATGGAATATATCGGTCCACTTCTTCTGCCACCTTCCCCACAAAGGGTCAAAATTTTGAGTATCCATGAAGATCATAAAACGCGAAATTAACATCCAATTCCATTCAGACTTGGTACATCTCAATATTTCCATCAACATAAGACCTGTTATAAAGATGGAAGAGATCGCACCATTTCTTCTGGTACCTCTCCCATATAGGATTCAAGATTATGAAAAACAAAACGCTCAAAAAAAGCGATTTAAGCATCCATCTCTCTTTAAATTTCACACTTTGAAATATTTTTGCTTACGCAAGATCTGTTGTGAAGATGATATATATCTTTACAACTTGCTATATCTAAATATTTCTCGTAGCCAGAATATGTAATTTATCGAAATTTATAATTTCAAGGTAAACATCTGTCGGCAAAACCGACAGATACGATTTTACTTGTTTATTCACAATAACATATTATATCCAGCAACATTCCGTAATCTCGACGTATTTTCCTAAAATATAGTAATTTAATATACATTTTTCTCTCTTTTCCCTTTCAGCAGCAGCAGTAGCTCTGGATCCTCACGTTCGGGCACCCGCTCACCATCAATACCGCGACGAAGGGGTTCGCCCAGCTTCCTAGATCGACGACGCATTACCAGGTATATATTTTTTAAGAAATATATGATTTAAACGAAAATTATTAATTTTTTATTTTCAATTTTAATTTATTAATTTCATATTATTTTTTAATTTTTTTTGTAGCCGTCGTACCTCAAATCATCGTGAACGCAGAAGATATTGATTTCATTTTTTTAAATTAAATTTTGATAAATTTATGATTTCTATTTTTTTTTTCTTTTCTTTTTATTTTAGTTTTATAAGCAAATTTTTGATTTGTGAAGAAACCCCAAATTTCTTTGTGTGTGTTCTTTGCTCTTCTCCTGCTATCTATCTTTTCAGTTCAAAATTTGGGTTCATTATGCTTAACATTTTGTTGTATATCACCCCCCATCCCAAGCATTATTTTCCTATCGCCATATTATTTTTCACAAATAAAACGAATGGAAATTACAGAATATAAAACTCTGGATATCTGTAGACAAAAGCCAAATATATGTAAATGATTTCTTTTTGGTTATTATGGTAATATTTATTGTAGTTGTAATTATTATTATTTTTTTAATTTTTAAAATATACCCTCGCCCAGGAAAGATACTAAACACTTAAAATATAAGAAAATTTCCTTTTCAAGTAAATTAACAGATTATTATAATTTTTGAGGCCGGTACACAATTCTTAAGTATGAATTAAGTTTAGTCCTTGATGTAGCACAACCAATAAGCTGTGGTAACAGTGTTTGTCCGAGTACAACTCGAGTCGTATCAGATTGTGGATCAGGCTGTAGTGTAGCAATAAAACTAAAAGTGTGATCGTCATTTATAATTTTTATCAGTTCTTTACTACTTTCTATTTTATATCAGCGATTAATATACAGGGTGATATGAAAAAAACTGCAACAAGTCAAACGCCATTATTTTTACAATTTTTTTTAATTTTTGAAACGTCACACGCTGCCCGAATGTTGCTCTGCGGTATTTTGACCCATTCCCGGCGAAGCGCTTGCTTGAGGTGATCAACACTTTGGTATTTTTTAGTGCCAACCTTACTTTCCATAATACTCCAGACACAATAGTCCAACGGAACGCTATACGAAGATTTTGGTGGCCATTGTGCGCTGGAAATGAAGCGGAGAACCTCATTTTGTTACCATTTTTGGTTAACGCGTGCTGTCCAAGGTCTGCGGCCAAAATGTTTGCATGCCCAAGGCTTTAATACACCCTCCAGAATATTTTCGCGATAATATTCGGAATTTATTCTGATGCCACGGACAACGAATGTTTTCTTATTGGAGAAAACCAAATTCGGCAGTTCACCACTTTCGGCCAAGCAAAGCAACTTTAGCTCTTTTGAGTATATTCTCTTTCATTTGCGGTGTGAGTTCTTGCACTTTTTGGAATTTCAATGGCTTTACCCCGAGCTCATTTTTCAATATTTGCCGGATGGAGTATTGCGATATGTTCAGCTCACGAGCCATTTTTCGGCCACTGCGACGCGGGTTTCGATCAAGTCGCTTCTTTACTTTTCGAACTATTTCTGCTGACGTTGCTGTTTTCTTCCGTCCACTTCCTTGACGTCGGGCTACGCTACCAATATTACTGTAACGAGCGATGGTACGAGACACGAAAGATTTATTTACATTTAAATGCTGGGGTGCTCTAACGATAGCCACTTGTGGTTTTCCAGCCGAATATATAACGAAATCACACTTGAATTCCATCAAGAATAACTTTATTGTGGAAAATTCTCACCAAAATGCTTTTGTACGCTTGTAAACAAGCTGTCACTGGAATAATTTTAACAGCTGTCAGACGAGTGGCTCATAAATCCGAGCAGTCTGAAGTTAGTTTTTTTTTTTAATTTTTTCATCTTGCCCTGTATTTTCGAGCTTCTCGATTTGTGATACATTTTATAAATATTTAGGATTTGTTGTTATGATAGCATCTCTTCAACTAAATAGGGTGAGGGTTATACATGGGTCGTTTTGAACGACCAGTAATATTAATTTCATTTATATTTAATATTCATTTATTTTCAGTATATTTGGTAATATTATGATTTTTATTTTCCTTTATTTGGTAAGTTTTATGAGTTCCTTTAAATTTCGAATATATTTTTTCGGAAAAAAAAAATACAAAAAAATAAATTTTTCCTCAATTTGATATAAAACAAAAAAATCTAATTAAAATTTCTTTCTCCCTTTAGTGCCCGCAAACGACCGATACCATATCATCGCAAAACGCCTTCAGATGTCTCCAGTTGCTATTGTTCCAGCTGCTGCAGCCGTGAGAGTTCACCACGCTCCCGTTCACGTTCTCCATCGCGCAACAGTCGTAGTCCGTCGCGAATTTTCTGAGATTTACAATGGCAGTTCAATGATATTTTGCCGCCTCATCTTTGCCATCCTTGGATATAGTTTTTCGTTTCCTTTCTTACTCTAAGTCGTTATTTGTATAGGTCTATAGAGAGCATTCGTCTAAGTCTAGTCATTCTTTTTTGTTTCTCTTTTAAGAAATTGTTGATATTTATACCAAAAAATATATATATTTTTTTTGTTTATGAATCTTTTTTGAAAAAATAAATACTCTGCATTTACATTGTAATTACTCTAAGTACACAATTTAATTTTTTTGTAATAATTCCAATATGATATTTTTTTATATATATAAGAACGTAACGTCGTATATTATTTAGTGCAATTTATTTATTTATAAACTTTTTCTTTTTAAAAATCGAGAGTAAATTGTAAGGAAAAAAGAGAACATTTTTGTTGCAAACATAATAAATACATATATATTTAAAAATAATGTAAACTGGTGTGTTTTATTGAACAATTCCTTGATGTTTAGCAAAGCAGACAGTCCCAAGTCTCTAGCATAAGAGAAAAAAGGTGTTGGGAATCACCCGGAAAGTTGTGGCGTATTTTAAAAGTTTTCCTCAGAGTAAAGAAAAATGTGTAGAGCGAGTCACACCAATGGGTCTGGAAAAATATTTTCAATTTTAGATATCGACAAAATCGGAATATCTTGTAACGAAAAACTAGAATGCCGACCACAATAACTACTTTTATGGGTTTAACCAATAAGTCGTACTTTTAGGGCATATGTGTGTATAACGAATGCGAAAAAACACTATTCCAAATGGAGTTTTTACACTTTTAATCTAACCGCATTCACTTTCGTATTGTCATACAAAAACAGTTCCGAATATTTTACAGCTCCCCAGAAAAAATTAAAATAGAATTAGTTCAGCACGAAGTACTACTTACTTTGCATTTTCATATTTCATTGAATTTACTATGGGTACACATTTGCTTTGTAATAACAGCCCTTAACAGTCCTTAAAATCAAACCAGTAAGGAAAAGTCATAAGTCGGGCGGGGCGACTATATGATACCCTACACGAATGTGCATATTTAATAGAGCTCAAACCAGTAAGGAAAAGTAATATGCCGGGCGGGGGCGACTATATGATACCCTACGCCACTATGCATATTTAGTAGAGCTCCCGTAAAAAAAGATTAAGTAGATCATACCACCTATCAACATTTGGCTTTAGAGCAGTTACCATTTGGTTTCAGAGGGAACTAATATATAGGAGTCATATCCAATTCTGAATCGATTTTCACTAAATTTGACGGACATTTTAATCTTTTATACTAAACAAAATTGCTATAGAGTGTAGGATATCACTTCGAGAAGGATTTTTTTAAAAAATATATACCTCGGAGCCGAGTTCCACAAAATGGAAATATACATACGTCCCGAAATTCACTCCATTTGGGCTGATATTAGCCATAATTTGCCCAATAAATCTGAAATCGGATTAAGGATGTATACGGAAGCTATATCCTAATCTGAACCGATCTCGATAAAATTTGGCACAGGTATTTCCGAGCTCTATAAGATATCTGGTACCAAATATCATTGTTGTCGAATTCATTTTACGAATATGAGGGACTTAAACACCAAATCGGATGAAACATATATATGGAAGCTATAGCTATATCTGAACCGATTTTCACCAAATATGATGTACTTGCTTCTAGACCGAATTCGATCGGATGTGCCAACATTCAGGTAATTTGGACTGATATTGACCATTTGGTGCACAATCAACCCGAACTCGATTGAAGATATACATTGGAGCTATATCCAAATCTGAACCAATCTTGATAAAATTTGACATAGGTATTTTTGAGCAATATCTGATGTCCGGTATCAAATATAGTTCTTGTGGAGTGCATATTACGCATGTGAGGGACTTAAAACCCAAAACTGGATGAAACATAGATATGGGAGCTGTAGCTATATCTGAACCGATTTTTTCCAAATTTGATATACTTGCATCTAGACTGAATTTGGTGCGATGTACCAAAATTAAGGGTCATTTAGACTAACTTATATTGGCCATTTGGTTCATAATAAACCCGAAATCGGTTGAAGTTATATGAGAGCTATATCTAAATCTTATCCGATTATCGTCCTTGGGACAAACTAATATTGATTGGAAAATTTCATCATAAACGGATAATCGGATTTTGTTCACAAGAATACATGGATAGATGGATGGACAGACGGCTCAAAAGTAACTATGGGTCTATTTCGCTAAAGGTATGGTATCCCAAATAAAATACCAACACAGTTCTACTAAGTGCCAATTTTTCCATTTCAGGATATAATTCTGTTTTTTAGGATGAAATGAATTAGTATGTAGCCTCTCGAACTCAACCTTAATTTTGCAAAAATTTGTCTAAAATCGATTGCTTGACTTCTATGTCGTATTTGCTGGCTGCGCTCGATTGAAACCTAAGTGTCTGTCTTGTGGTGATCCTAATAACAGTTTTCTTTTAAAACCCACCAGAATCATTAATAAGCGACTCATTCCTACTTATGAAGTAAGGCCATGGATGAGAGGCTTTATTTTTTTTGGGAAACACTTTACTCGGACACTGATGGTCCATTCTGTTCACCCAGAAAAGAGAAGAAGAAAGAAGAAAAGGGAGTTACAAATCCGTAAAAGCTAACGTTCGGATAACGGAATTGAAAATTGCCTGTTTTACTCCATAGCTATTTCAAATACTTGGTGAAGTTCGTTGCCCTGAAACCTTTATATCAGATCCAAGAGACGGGGACGCACTCACACATTTTTCCCAAATGACAACCTTTTTTCGTCCATAGACTGCAGAATCCGATATCGTTTTCCCCCAGTACCTAGACATGGGTCTTGTGCAACAGCGGCAATTTTTATCTCGTATTTACTGAGAGGGAGAGAGTATGAAACCGAGAGAAACCATCACATTTACCGTGATACCCAGAACTTTTATGACACTCTTGCTAATCACCAATCACCGGACCAACTGGTTGGCTTCATTGCCTTAAGATCAGCCTGACTTCTTAATAGAGCGTCCATACTGTCCGTACTGAATGACTCGAGTTTTGTTTCACCTATTCAACAGCCTCTAGCATAGCGCTATAAATATATATTTTCCCTGGAATAAAATTCTTCAGATGTTTGTCGAAGGTATAAAAACTTTTTTGATAGCCTCATTGATCGGAGACGGAAAAAGTATTGTATATGTTCCTTTCCGGTGGTTCTCCATCGGTAACGTTTTAACGCTAGAAAACGGGCTTTTTAGATTTGTCCGATATTAAACACTTTTTGACGCTAGACCTCATTTCAGAATTTTGGGATAACTTAAGTTGTCTGGGCCGATCCATTTTCGCATATCTTCATTGTTTTAAATAAATGTTAAACTTTGTAGAGTTAAGCTTTTAATTGGAATAAAAAAACTCCAAATAATTTCATATTAACTTTATTTTTTTCTCTTCACACCGATCCACATATTTATCATTTACGCTGTTGATTAAATGATAAATACGAGTTCGTCGATGTTTTACTTGTTTATTTGGTGGTAGACAAACTTCTTAAGTTTAAATACATTTTCTAACATACATCGCATTTAAAATATTATAAATATGTTTTGCATTAGACAAAATGTGTGTTTCAAAAGGGAGCTAATAATACAATGCTTAGAGTAAACTAAAAAGAAAAGAAATGAAAACAATAAATTTAAATCCAAAACTAAATAAAAAACACGTCGATAACAAAGTTTTTGTTGATTGATTTATTTATGTTGCTAAGCTATGCGGTTATAGCTCGAAAAGTTGTTAAGCCTATTTATGTAGCTGTGGGTGCTGGCTTCGAGGGTGTCTCCGATGAGGGAGGGTTCTGTTCTTTATTCCAATCTTGCAAGCCCTTCGGCAATGAGGTATCTTCTTCAAAGGAACCAGTGCCTTCAACGAATTCCTCATAAGTGGACTTCTCTTTGAATGGTCGCTTGCCCAAAAGTTCAATCATATCATCACGGCTGAGTACCTCATTCTTAAGCAAACGCTCGGCCACCTTTCGTACATCTTCTTTGTGTTTGGTTAGCAAGGCGGTTGTACGGTCATGGGCCTCTTTAATTAGAGATCTTACTTCACGATCAATTAATTGGGCTGTCTCCTCGGAATAGGGCTTGGAGAAATTCATCTCACCCTGCTGGCCGTCAAAACTAACTTGCCCGACCTTTTCGTTCATACCGAATCGTACAATTTGGGCATAAGCACTGTCGGTGATTTTCTTCAAATCATCCTGTGCTCCGGTGGTAATGCGTTTGAAGAACAGCTCCTCTGCCACACGACCTCCAAGTGTCATACACATGCGGTCGAATAACTGCTCCTTGGAGAGTAAATATTGATCCTTGGGTAAGTACTGGGCATAACCCAAACCCTTGCCTCTGGGTATAATGGATACCTTAAGCAGGGGATCTGCATGTTCCAAGAACCAACCAGCTACTGCATGACCGGCCTCATGATGGGCCACAGTATTTTTCTCTTCAGGAGCCAAAACATTTGTTTTCTTCTCCATGCCAGCAATGACACGTTCAATGGCTTGTTCAAAATGTTTCTGCACAATGGAATCATTGGAATCTCTGGCCGCAATCAAGGCAGCCTCATTACAAACATTGGCAATATCGGCACCAGTAAAACCTGGTGTCAAAGCGGCCATTTTACGAGCCAATTCGGTTTTATCTAAATCAGTTTTGAGGGGTCCCAAATGCACCTTGAATATACTGGCCCTACCCTTGATATCGGGTGCTGGCACAAAGATTTGCCTATCGAAACGACCGGGACGTAAAAGGGCTTTATCCAGAATATCTACACGATTTGTAGCGGCCAGCACTACAACGTTGGTGGTGGTATTGAAACCATCCATTTCAACCAGCAATTGATTCAATGTGTTCTCCTGTTCAGAGTGGCCACCAAAGGACTTGCCACCACGTTTACGACCAACGGCATCAATTTCATCGATGAACAGAATGCAGGGGGCATTTTTACGGGCCATGGCAAACATATCGCGGACACGTGATGGACCAACACCCACAAACATCTCCAAAAACTCTGAGCCAGAGACAGTGATGAAAGGCACATTGGCTTCACCGGCAGTAGCCTTGGCCAACATAGTTTTACCCGTGCCGGGTGGTCCAGTCAGCATGGCGCCTTTGGGAATTTTAGCACCCAAATCGATGTACTTTTGTGGATTCTTAAGGAAGTTGACAAATTCCATGATTTCGATTTTGGCTTCTTCGCAACCGGCAACATCCCTGAGAATAGGAATTAAGTTAGCAACTGAAATAAAGCAGTCATATTTGTAGAACTTACTTGAACCTAACACCAATTTCATTGGAATTAATCAATTTGGCAGTGGACTGCATGACACCACCAAACAGACCGCCACCTTTACGTCCCTTGCCACCCATCATGTCGGCCGAGCGGCGCATCATATAAACTAGGAAACCAATAATCAGCAAAGTTGGCAAGAGCCCAGTTAGACTGGAAGCCTCAACTTCGGTACGATAAATAACAGGAACAAAATTAACCGGCTCTACACCCTGTTCAACTTGGGCATTCTCCAAGTTACGCTCAAAGGAATCCACACTGCCAATGTTGAACCACAAAACACCGCTGGCATCTTGAGCATTGCCGGGCAATAGGCGAACACGTACCCATTTCTTGTTGACCACTTCAAGCTTTTCCACAATACCACGGTTAAGATAGCTGAAAGAAGGAGTTCATCAGATTTGAAGGAACCATGAAATTCAATCACTTACCTTGTGACAAATTCCTTCCACGAAATTTCTTTGTAGCCCATTTCAAAGAAAGCCAATGTGGCAATGATACCCACGGCGGCCAAGGCACCAAATAGAACCATTTTCTCTTTATTGCCATCACCACCATCTCCGATCGGGCGGCCTTGGCCGCCTTTGCCACCACCTCCACCAGACTGAGGTTTGGCGGTATTGTTAAACATACCGAAATTCCATTCATTGCTCTTTGGTTGAGATGATGCCTTTGGTGCCGCGGCGGGTTCTTCGGATTTGGCCGACTTTCCCGCAGCTGCAGCAGCCTCACTGGCCGCCGGCTTGGCTGCCTTGCCTTCTTCAAAATACTTTTCAAAGCCCTTTGGTGGTTTCTTGCAGAAATATCTGATTTGTTCCACTAAGTAACGTATCAAAGGCACCTGTTCTAATGCCACCGCTCCACGTTGTATCTATTCAAAAATAGAAAAGGACAATTACAACAACCACATGAGGAATTATTATCACACCAACAAACATACCTTATCTGTTGCCGGTGAGGCATTATGTTGGCTCATATAGGTACGTCGCATGCAACGTTCCATAGCCTTTGCTGAGCTCAGCAAACGATGGGCCATTATTGGGGAAATGCAAATTGTCCAGTTGCCGTCGTAAAGGTGTTATTTAACTTTTGCACACACAATGATGTTACACGCCGCCGCCGTATTGTAAGTCGTTTTTTCGCAAATATTTATGAAATATGATATCTAAATAGCGGAGAGTGATAAAAAGTTATTCAATGTTTTATTAATTTAACTCACTTTCAACTAATTAATTTATAAATTGGTAGAAAAAATACTCTCTGATTGGAAAATACCGATTGTTGTGAAATGTTCAAGTGACAGCGGTAAAAGATGAATGGTGTAGTAACGGCTCACAAGTGACAGCAACAGCTGTTTGATGAAGTGAAAAGTAATGTTATCGATAATATGGTAACATTGGAGATAAATCGTTATCGGAGGCGAATAAACACATTGGGGAAGCAGCGATATGGGTAAATAAAGAACTAATGGGAAGAGATTAGAAATATGAAATAATTGAATATATATATATATATATATATATATATATATATATATATATATATATATATATATATAAATTAAGTAGTGTTGGGTTTAATTTATTAAAAGAGACCAGTAAACATTATGAGTTAAATTACGTAAAGAAAATGAATAAAGAATATAACCCAAGAATTTTGCTTTAAATTTTATAAAAGTTTGTATTGAATAAAACATAAATGTTTCACAATTAAGGTGTGGCTACATAAGCAGCATGGCATATTGTGACATATCATAAAGGGATGCCAGAGCCGCACTCGAAACAATAGCACTTTCTCATTTTGCAAATAAGTTATCCAAAAAACAACTAAACAATTTTCAAAATATATTTTTTTTCAAATCGGTTTCATAAAAATAATAATTGCTCAGTTCCAGTACCTACCTGCAAGAATCTACTATTTTTCTTTGATATGATAAAGGGAAAAACTTTTACATTCTTGCATTTCTGGAAAAGACCAAAAGCTGATAGATGACGAATAATAACAAGACTTGTAAGGAATTGCAAGTATAAATCCGGCATGAAAGTGCAAATTCTCAGTAATTGAACTGTCAAATTTGCTGAAATTAGACCATTAAAATTTGTTTGCACGTTTTAACACGCTTTCGAGTAAGATAACATTTTAGACGAAAAAAGTTACAAATATCATAAAAAAATGTATAGGAACAGAGCTATGCTAAATTTCCTATTGACATCTTGTGGAAATTAGTCTGCACTAATATCCAAGGGTTGTTGTCCAAGCGGATATTTATGAATGTAGTGTCATCTAGTGATGCATAGACAACAGTAAATATCAATTAAAGAGTCGATAAAACTGTTTTATATGTAAGCACGGCAGTAAACTTGTAACGGTGGATTTACATGTTATTTCAATTCTTCTTTGGATAGAATATTTCTACATCTGTTGATGGGAGTTTTATTAGATCTCCATAAATAATATATAGAAGTCCTTTCGAGGGTCTTCAACTGCTAAAAATAAAGCTTTAATGGCACATCTTTGATTTGTTTTCCCTTGCTAATTTTAATAGCAACCCCATCCACAGAAAAGTTTCCCAACCTGCACAGCAATCAAAGTTCATACCTAACACGAAAAAAAACTTTTTTTCTAATGACTTTTCAATTATAATATCATTAAATTAAGAGAATTGATAGCATTCGTACAACGCTTTCGGCATGCTCTACACAACTACTCAATTCTCTCGTGATGCTGTCGACAATGTTGGTTGGTAGGTATTCCCTGAAGTTTACAATCAAAGATGTCATTAGAGAAGATGTCAAATACTGAAGCACCACTCATTAATCATTACATTCATGCTACCATTCATGAACACACAAACATAACAACAGCAACAATGACATTAACATCAACAACAAATGAATGCATCAGTAGCAGCAGCAGCATCAGTCAACATACAATCTATCAATTAATCTCTTCGCTCTTTCACAAAAAGAGAGAAAGACAGGCACTCTGTGTTATGTTTGTAATTCGGTAACGTTTTGATGTCGGTAATCGATGAAATGAAGTAATGAAAACAGGTAGTCGCGACGAAATTAATTATAGCCATCATTTTGGAGACATGTAACGGCCAACAGACAGCGAGTATATTTGACATTTCAACAATTGGCGGGAAAAATCGTGTGTGTGCTTTACTTTTGGGGGCTGTATGTGTGTGGTCAAATTGAATTCTTGATAATGTTCTTTAATGAATTGTTGGCATGCATGACAAAGAAGGGGAAAATGTTTTAATAGGGAAGAAATTGAAAGAGAGTAGGGCGAGGAGAGGCAATCTATTTTTTTTTAGAGAGTGTCAAATGTGTTGTTTTAAGGAATATTTTGTGAAGAATCAAATGTGAGTGTTTTCTGTTAAAAATAAAAGCAGATTTATTATTTCAAAATAATATCTATAAAAACATTTTTTAAGAATATTTTTTAACGGGAATTTAAAATGAAATGTTTTTGAAGATTTTTTTTCGAAACTTTCTATAATGAATTGTTGGCATGCGGAGTAAAGGAGGGAATAAGTTATAATAAGGAAGGGCATTAAAGAGAGTAAGGAGAGTAGAGAATATGCAATAGAGAGAGAGAGAGAGTCAATAGAGTGATGAAAATGTGCTGTTTTAATGAATATTTTGTGAAGAACAAAATGTAAATCTTTTCTGTTAGAAATAAGAGTGAATTTATTAGAAATATAGAAACTGGATTTAATTAATATTTTCCAAACGTAAATTTATTTAAAAATATTACACATACATTGATTTTTTAAGAATATTTTTGAAAAGCGTTTTTTTTTTAAATTTTGTCTAATAAAGATTTTTCGAAGAGTTTTTTCTAAACGCTGAGTTTTTTAAAATAATTGTTAATCGAGTATATTTAAATAAAAAGATCTAAACTTTTATTTTAAAAATATTTCCCAAATGTGAATGGCTTTCACGAATATTTTTTGTCATTTTCCCGTGTTAACAAAAATGGAAAAAGAAATTATTGAATGTATTCCCCCAATCCCATGATAGACATAAGCGTGACCAGGCGTAAAATTTATTAAAGATTTCATTTGAATTCCCTATGGAGATCCTATCTCCGACTTGAATTAAAAACAAAACTGAAAGCATTTTCCCAGTTGTCATCATCGTTAGCATGCCCTCAATGAATGGCGATGGTGATAATAGATCTTCGTATTATTCCACCTGATCTAAGCCATTTGATATTGCCTTGGTCGGCCCATTATAACATGGCAAACAGCCAGTCAACCTCCAGAGAGGTGATAAAAAGTTGTAACATTTTGTTCTTAATAAACTACTTGTGTTACGTAATTTATTACAAACAACAACGACAACAAAATAACGACACTTGTTTCAGATTTTCTTCAATTTAGTTCAGATCTCCATCCAAATGTTTTTTTTTTTTTGAAATTTGCCCCCAACAATTGCGACAAAGAAACGAGGTTATCTTTTGGACAAAATCTTTTCTTTCATTAACTGTTTCTTTTTTCTGTTTTTGTTTTTCCATAGCTTTCTGCTCTTTCTGCAAATATGCTTTTCGGAGACACCAATAGCAGAAGATGGTGAAGAAAAACCAACCTACTAAATGCAAAGAATGGAAGAGAAACTCGCCAACATTCAATGGGAAATAAATGCTGAGGGAAAAACTGAAAACGCATCTATGGTGCGTGTTAAACACTATAAATGGCAATATCATCGCCTTCATCAGCGGCGACGACAGCAAATAGTGCTGCTGCAGCTACAGCAGCAGCATCATTGGCCAACATCAGGCCATGTCAGTCAGTAGCTGAAAGTAACTGAAAGAAAAAAATGCTTCGGCAATAGAAAAATATGCGACGAGGACAAAACAGCAATAATAACACCTGTATTGAAAATCGCAAACATTAGAAAAGGAGGAAAATGTGGAAGCAGCTACATGGGCCTGAGGAATTAGAGGCCCAGGGGATTGAGTTTTGAATTTTTCTCCCCAATCTTGGATTTTATTAAAGAATATCATATAGTCTCAAAAATACTAAATGAGAGTGGATTTTTTTTTGAATTTTTTAAGATATTTGTAAACTTTAAAATAATTTTTTTTTGGATTTTTTAAAAAGTATTCATTTTTTACCTAGATTTTTTATTATATAAAAATATTTTTAATTAAAAAATTAAATTTTTTTTTTATTTTTTTAAGGGACTATTTTATAATTATTTATTGGTTTTTAAATTTTTTTTATAGTTTTTTTACATATTTTAAATTTTGTTTTAAATTATTGAAAAAATGTAAATTTTTTATTTTTTTTTGTTTTTATTAATATTTTGAATTAAAAAAATTATTTGGGTTTTTTTTTTTAAAAACCTATTTTGTTTTAATTTTTGTACATTAGTTTTTTTTTCTAAAAAACCGACTTTTTAAAATATTTTTTTATTTTATTCAATATTATTATATTTTTTTAATGTGTTTGTAAGAACGATGATAAGAATGATATTTCTTAGATTGTTAAAAAATATTTGGGTTATTCACAAAAAAAACTGATTTTTTTGGAGTTTTCCAATGCATTTCTCGGATTTTTATTGTTTTTTATATTTCTTTTAGATTTTTTTAACTTTCTTAAATTATTAAAAAAATAGGATTTTTTATATAATTTTTTAATATTTTGAATTAAAAAAAAACGATGTGGGGTTTATAAAAACTTATTTGGTTTTAATTTTAATTAATTTAATTTCTTTATTTCATTCAAAATTATTATATTTTTTATTGTTTTTAAATGTGTTTGGAAGAACGATTTTTTAAAAATATGTCTTAGATTGTTAAAAAAAATATTTGGGTTATTCACAAAAAAAATCTATTTTTTTTAAGTTTTTCGAGGCATTTATCGGATTTTTAATGTTTTTTAGATTTTTTAACTTTCTTAAATTATTAAAAAAAAATTAAGATTTTTAATATATATTTTTTATATTTTGAATCAAAAAAAAAAAAAAAAAAAACGAAGTGGGGTTTATTAAAACTTATTTGGTTTTAATTAATTTAATTTTTTATTTTATTCAAAATTATTATATTTTTTATTGTTTTTAAATGTGTTTGGAAGAACGATTTTTTAAAAATATTTCTTAGATTGTTAAAAAAATATTTGGGTTATTCACAAAAAAAATCTGATTTTTTTTGGAGTTTTCCAAGGCATTTCTCGGATTTTTATTGTTTTTTATATTTTTTAGATTTTTTTAACTTTCTTAAATTATTAAAAAAATTAGGATTTTTAATATATTTTTTTATATTTTGAATTAAAAAAAAAAAAAAAACACGATGTGGGGTTTATAAAAACTTATTTGGTTTTAATTAATTTAATTTTTTATTTAATTCAAAAT